TGTGGTGTGTGTAATAGTGTGAGATGAGGGCGTGTGTGGTGTGTGTAATGGTGTGAGATGAGGGCGTGTGTGGTGTGTGTAATAGTGTGAGATGAGGGCGTGTGTGGTGTGTGTAATAGTGTGAGATGAGGGCGTGTGTGGTGTGTGTAATGGTGTGAGATGAGGGCGTGTGTGGTGTGTGTAATGGTGTGGGATGAGGGCGTGTGTGGTGTGTGTAATGGTGAGAGATGGGGGCGTGTGTGGTGTGAGATGAGGGCGTGTGTGGTGTGTGTAATGGTGTGAGATGAGGGCGTGTGTGGTGTGTGTAATGGTGTGAGATGAGGGCGTGTGTGGTGTGTGTAATGGTGTTAGATGAGGGCGTGTGTGGTGTGTGTAATGGTGTGAGATGAGGGCGTGTGTGGTGTGTGTAATAGTGTAAGATGAGGGCGTGTGTGGTGTGTGTAATGGTGTGAGATGAGGGCGTGTGTGGTGTGTGTAATGGTGTGAGATGAGGGCGTGTGTTGTGTGTGTAATGGTGTGAGATGAGGGCGTGTGTTGTGTGTAATGGTGTGAGATGAGGGCGTGTGTGGCGTGAGATGTGTGAGATGAGGGCGTGTGTGGTGTGTGTAATGGTGTGAGATGAGGGCGTGTGTGGTGTGTGTAATGGTGTGAGATGAGGGCGTGTGTGGTGTGTGTAATAGTGTGAGATGAGGGCGTGTGTGGTGTGTGTAATAGTGTGAGATGAGGGCGTGTGTGGTGTGTGTAATGGTGTGAGATGAGGGCGTGTGTGGTGTGTGTAATAGTGTGAGATGAGGGCGTGTGTGGTGTGTGTAATAGTGTGAGATGAGGGCGTGTGTGGTGTGTGTAATGGTGTGAGATGAGGGCGTGTGTGGTGTGTGTAATGGTGTGAGATGAGGGCGTGTGTGGTGTGTGTAATGGTGTGAGATGAGGGCGTGTGTGGTGTGTGTAATGGTGTGAGATGAGGGCGTGTGTTGTGTGTAATGGTGTGAGATGAGGGCGTGTGTGGCGTGAGATGTGTGAGATGCGGGCGTGTGTGATGTGTGTAATGGTGTGAGATGAGGGCGTGTGTGGTGTGTGTAATGGTGTGAGATGAGGGCGTGTGTGGTGTGTGTAATGGTGTGAGATGAGGGCGTGTGTTGTGTGTAATGGTGTGAGATGAGGGCGTGTGTGGCGTGAGATGTGTGAGATGCGGGCGTGTGTGATGTGTGTAATGGTGTGAGATGAGGGCGTGTGTGGTGTGTGTAATGGTGTGAGATGAGGGCGTGTGTGGTGTGTGTAATGGTGTGAGATGAGGGCGTGTGTGGTGTGTGTAATGGTGTGAGATGAGGGCGTGTGTGGTGTGTGTAATAGTGTGAGATGAGGGCGTGTGTGGTGTGAGATGAGGGCGTGTGTGGCGTGAGATGTGTGAGATGCGGGCGTGTGTGATGTGTGTAATGGTGTGAGATGAGGGCGTGTGTGGTGTGTGTAATGGTGTGAGATGCGGGCGTGTGTGGTGTGAGATGAGGGCGTGTGTGGTGTGTGTAATGGTGTGAGATGCGGGTGTGTGTGATGTGTGTAATGGTGTGAGGTGAGCGCGTGTGTGGTGTGTGTAATGGTGTGAGATGAGGGCGTGTGTGGTGTGAGATGAGGGCGTGTGTGGTGTGTGTAATGGTGTGAGATGAGGGCGTGTGTGGTGTGAGATGAGGGCGTGTGTGGTGTGTGTAATAGTGTGAGATGAGGGCGTGTGTGATGTGTGTAATGGTGTGAGATGAGGGCGTGTGTGGTGTGTGTAATGTTGTGAGATGAGGGCGTGTGTGGTGTGTGTAATAGTGTGAGATGAGGGCGTGTGTTGTGTGTGTAATGGTGTGAGATGAGGGCGCGTGGTGTGAGATGTGTGAGATGCGGGCGTGTGTGGTGTGAGATGAGGGCGTGTGTGGTGTGTGTAATGGTGTGAGATGCGGGTGTGTGTGATGTGTGTAATGGTGTGAGGTGAGCGCGTGTGTGGTGTGTGTAATGGTGTGAGATGCGGGCGTGTGTGGTGTGAGATGAGGGCGTGTGTGGTGTGTGTAATGGTGTGAGATGCGGGTGTGTGTGATGTGTGTAATGGTGTGAGGTGAGCGCGTGTGTGGTGTGTGTAATGGTGTGAGATGAGGGCGTGTGTGGTGTGAGATGAGGGCGTGTGTGGTGTGAGATGAGGGCGTGTGTGGTGTGAGATGAGGGCGTGGGTGGTGTGAGGGCGTGTGTGGTGTGAGATGTGTGAGGTGAGAGCGTGTGTGGTGTGAGATGTGTGAGGTGAGGGCGTGTGTGGTGTGTAATGGTGTGAGATGAGGGCGTGTGTGGTGTGAGATGAGGGCGTGTGTGGTGTGAGATGAGGGCGTGTGTGGTGTGAGATGTGTGAGGTGAGAGCGTGTGTGGTGTGAGATGTGTGAGGTGAGGGCGTGTGTGGTGTGTAATGGTGTGAGATAAGGGCGTGTGTGATGTGAGATGTGTGAGGTGAGGGCGTGTGTTGTGTGAGATGTGTGAGATGAGTTTGTGGTCAGCAACTGTCAAGAAAAAAAAACCTAGCTCTTGAGTTATCCATTAAATGTAAATTTATTAATCTATGAACATTTCCTTAATCAATTCAAAGATATTTCTAAAACTCTCCAGGGGTCTTCTATAAATGTAAACATTGACACCGGAAGGTGGACGGTTCTAGATTTAGTGACGATGTGCTACGAGGGTTGGGGTGATTATTAATAAGGGAGGGGGTGCGGTTACGTCATTTTAGATGAATGGGTTTAGTAACAATCGGGTTAAGGGGAAATGTAGATCATTGCGATAGAAGTGCAGTAACTATATAAAATGTTGGATTATTGCTTAGAAAATTGTAGTAGCCTCCCCTCTAAAGTTGGTTTTATTTAGCAATATTGTGAGTTTTTAAATTTTTTCATCGCGTTTGCACTTGCGATGTGTATACTATTATTATACACTTCTAGAAAAAAAAACTTTGCATCAAGGGGTCGTCCATAAATGACGTCACACTTGTAGGGGTGAGGCGGGGGGGGGGGGGGTCCATAATTTTGTGACGGTGTGTGACGAGGAGGAGGGAAGGGGAATCAGATGTTGCGACGTCACACTTTTGCATTATAAAAAAGCAATGTTAGAAAACTAATTTCAGACGTTATTTCGCGTTTTAGAAAACCTTTTTTAATAAAAGGGAATAAGAATAACTATTAGAATTTTAGGAGATTGCAGTAAGTTTATATAGAGTAATTTGGGGTAGGTTAGCACAAAACCAGGGGAAATTTTCACAGGTAAGTGTTAGAATTAGTGCAGAGAGCACTTGGGGTGGGGTATATAAACCGGCGGCTTAGCCTTGGAGGTGATGGCCCTAGCCAGTAATCTATGCAGCACATATGTTGGCGCTATAGTCTTCTAAACTCTTCTTAGATGAGCTCTACACAGGCAATTCCCCATCAAGAAAGATACACTATACTGTTCGCATAGCCAAAAAAGAGTACAGATGACTTATTCTTCATTTTTAATCATCTGTGACTAAGAGAAAGATATAATAGAGAAAAAAATTACAAAGTTCACATCTGATGGGTGGGTAACTTTCTGAAGTTGGTGAACGTAAAGGCATCTGTGCATGGTAGTTATCTTTCCATATACCAAAAAACAAACAAATCTATATTTTCTACAATGGACGCGAGCGAGAAAGTATTGGAGAGGCCCATTAAATAATTTTAAAATCATGCGCGGCGTAGTTACAATTAATATGGTTATAAAATCCTGTCTGTCTGTTTTTTTTCAGACTTTACTAAAGATTGGATGTATCTGATGTTTTTTATACTTTCGGTAACTAAATAAAATTTTTAAAAAAAGCAAAAACAATTTGGTTCTCAAGTGTAAAGGCGACATAAACAATGGCATCCTGCTATTCGATAGGCTGCTATAAATTTTATTGTACACATTGTAAGCGAAAAAAAAAGGAAAACTAGGTCATGGGGTTTAAATTTGCATTGTTCTTTAAAAACTTTATCTGCAAAGTTTTGTAAACAAATAGTTATCAATCACTGAGTTCCTGTACAGCCAATCAATATTTGTCTTATGAAAGTGATATATCCAGTTATAACTTAGGCTTGATAAAAATAAATAGAAATGTAGCCTTCAAACTCAACAAATTATTTTCTAAAAATATAAAATTTCTGAATTAATTTTAGGCTGAAGTTTTTACTTTTTATTATTTTTATGGTCGCTTTGCTAAATCTAAAAAAGCATGTTTTTATTCCATGTCAACAACATGATGGAAGGATTCTCATCAACTCGCTCGCCTCCATTGCCCTAAAGACCATCAAGTCTGAAAGAATACATTGCTAATTTTTAGATGTAGGCCTAGTACTAGTGCAATTTCACTATACAAAGTGGCATTTTTATTTTATAATATTAATACATATTGTACATCAAAAAAGTGTTTAGAATTTTAACATTAATATTATGATTAAATACTATACAAATTATCAACTAAAATAGAATAAATCTTAGCTGGTAAATCATGGGATCTAGATTCTAGAACTTAAGAATAAAGAGGGTAGAATTGCTTATGCTTAATTTAATTATTAAATAAATAGATCTAATTTAATTTTAGATAGAATAAAAACTTTAAACTAGCCAAGATAAGAAGTTTAAAGAAGACTGAAGACAGTGAAGAGGGTTGAATATAGATCTATTTATAAATCAATTTCAATCTAAACATGGAAGTACGGTGGTAACTTACGGTAATCTATCGTTTTGGGTACGTAAAATCGCCCGCGGCTATTAATGTACGAAAACGTTACCTCATTGTCAAGGCTGTAATAGAAGTATATTGTGATATGTTTGTGTCAAATATTATAGATAAATGAATAATAAACCTAAATCAATGGCTAAATTAAAATATATCAATATATATATTATATAGGCCAGAAATTAACTTTAAACAGCTGTGTCTGCAAGCAAGATTTGCCATATAAACAGCAGCGATAGATTACCTAACTTACTTTATTTTGTAAAATTAATTCAATGATTTTCTATATCTAGACTCTAGATTATTTTTTTTTTTAATTTTAATTTTGTTTCCATGCTGAAGAATCAAATCCTAATCGTCAATGTAAACAGGAACCGAACTGTTTATCCCCCTTGCTGTTTCTAAGTGTACTATTAAAATTTTAACAACGTACCGGCTTTTTTTTTTTTAATAATGAGAATTTTTTAAATATATAAATATAGATCTATATTTAAATTAAAATGTCTTGGTTAATAACAGATTTATTATATTTTTTTTAAACTTGCATACGTTGGTCGATAAATGAAGCAAGCATTGGTATTAAATATAAATCAATTATTTTTGGCTTCGGACTTTTTGAATTGGCCTCTAGGTCAATTTTCGTTTCTATGTGACGACAAGTTAGCATCAAAAATGGCCGACGATTTCATCAAATTTTGAATCAGATACTTTAAAGACTAAATAAAAACGTTGCTGTTTACTTCTTTAACTTAAATACGCCATCTTCATCAAAATGGCATCGTCGATATATAGGAAAAAACATGGTGGTACAGTAAAAATTCACGATAAAGCTGTAGTGGACCATGTTGTAGGTGACAGTGAAAATGCAAAAGCAGAAATTGAAAACAAATGCACTGCTTACAAAGATATGTTTGATAAGGTAATATTATAACATAAAATAGGAGGCCATGCAAAATAATATTCAAAAGGCTAGTATTAAAAAAATTCACCATTTTAATTATTAATTGGTAAAAGTAATAAAACTAATAGTAATACTGTTACCTAATATTATTACTATTATAAGTATTATTATTATTTTACAGTAATAGTAATACTTATTAAATTAGGTTAATAAAACTTGTTTTATAAAATCAGAAAATTTAGTTAATATTTCTTATTTAGGGTAAGATTTGTTAGATATTTTTTTTTATTTAAAGTACTATAATATATTAAAATTTTAAAATATCTGCTCAGGAATCAAGCAAATTTTCAACAAAATCAGAGTTCATCAATGAGTGTTTACCTAAAGTTGAATCCAAAAGAAGTATGACAGGTCAGTCCAGAAACTCTAGGAGCTCATCGAATCTTCAAGACCAATCCCTTAAATTACAAAATTGGATTGATAAAAAGACTATTAAAGAACTACAGGTACTTTGGTTTTATAAAAAAACTAGCTGGGCTATAAAAAAGTACCTTTTCAGTTTAATGGTCCCAAGAGAAGATGGAGTAAAGTTCAGTCTTAATACAGAACAAGAAAATAACAGTTCCAGATGATTATTACAGTCTTTTATTTTTATTTTCTTGGTGTTATTGAAATTAATTTTTGTACCCATCCCGCATGTTGCTGTGGACTGACACAATATTTTAAGAGGATTGCATCAATGCGTTATCAATTTTGTAATTTTAGATGCATGCCCTTGTTTTCTACAATGGAGTTATATAAATGTTAACAAAGCAGGCTCATAGTTGTTGGGGCATGGGTTTGTTTACACTACTGCTCAGATGCAACAGGGTGTGCTTAGTGAAAACCTTGAGTGTACATTGATCACCCGCTGTAATAGTGAAGTAGGACATACCTCAGTGACCCCACAGGTGTCAGGGGCCTTTGTGGGACACTCTCATGAGCCACCGGTTACACAACCACAGGAGTGGCAAGTATGACACCTGGTTCAGTTTAAATCATTAAATGTCCATTGCCACCATGTCTCTAATGTAGGGTGCAGGTCACCCGACCTCAAGAGTGTCGGCAGACATGCCTGATTTGATTGAGACAATGATTATAGTAGCCCACCATATCCTTAGTGTATTGCACTTTTTAAAACAAACATATGTGCCATAGTGCTTACAAGGGAGCTCAGGACACCGAATCCCATCACGTCAGGGTGTTGGAAGATGGGCCTGATTCAATTAATGAATGATTATAGTAGTCCATCATAATCAGTGTATTGCACTCTTTAAAATGAATGTAGGCTCATGGGAAAGTGGCACCAAATTGCACCCTGCTGGGGTGCTATTCCTTCGAAATGTAAATTCTTTTTTCCCAACAACTTGCCAACATTTCATGGTAATCAGATGAAAGTTGTAGTAATACATAAAGGACAAACAAATAAACAAACATACATACTTCCATTTATATGTGTATAGATTTTATTTATTGTTTAGGAGAGAGCTGATACTGAAAGTCTTGAAACAAAAAAGTTGTATTCAGAACTAATGGAAACAGAGCAAACTTTTGTAAAGGTAATGTGGTTAATTTTTTTAAAGTTCATTTTTGTTTTTTTCTCTCCAAAACCCTAATGATTGGAAACTAATTTAAAATGATGAATAATTTTCACTGAAATATATTTTAAAATATACAAAAATATAGGCCTACATTTATTAAAATGACAAACTTAATACACAACATTAGTTATTTATTTTCTACACCCTAACATTCTCAGTTAATTAGCTACCAATCAGCACTGTTACTTGGGCTGAACCATAATTGTTTAGATTGATGCATTTATTTTTAAAGTATATATACATTTTTTAAATTTTGCCTGAAATCTAGAAACTAGATGAACTACTGTCACACAAAGATCTTGTTGATCTTCGTAGAAAAGAGCTACTTTATTTACAATGGTCGGAAGAAGTGTATGAGCCTATAAGAAAAAAAATACTTCAAGCTATAGATGGTTCTGAATGGTCAAAGCTTGACAGGCGCAAGAGAGAATTACACAAGCAATTTTTGGAGCATGTCAATAAGCGAGTAAGTGGAATAAAAAATTAAAACACTTAAAAATTAAATTTAGTCAGATATTTCAACAATTTAGATACTGTATTTAGGTATTACCATTCTTTTTAATCAAATATTGAAAGTCTCTTTTCAATGCTCGTAAAGGGCCATGTATTTTTGGAAGATGATGATAAAGAGCAGTACTATGCCCAAGCACTTAATGATTCCCGTCCAGCACCTATAAAGGTTAGGCTTTTAACATTGCTAAAGCTGAAATAAATATAACTTCACTTGCATACATTTTATATATATATATATATATATATATATATATATATATATATATATATATATATATATATATATATATATATATATATATATATACACACACACAACGCCATAACATTTTAAGAGTGAATTATTTATTTTATTATCGTTTTGGAAAATTAGCACTAGGCCTACTTTCAAAAACTGGAATTAATTAAGAACGTATATTACAAAATAAGTTTTATTTATTAAAGCCTTTTCTAGTCCACATAAAACAAGTTTTCATGAAGGTAAATGTATTCATCAGATTAAAACTGAAGCTCTTAGAGATCCTTTGCTCACACTTGGTAGAAAAAAAGCTGAAGAGGAGCGAACAATCCTTCGCTGTATGACAGGACAACATTACACAGATGAGGATATCGAAAAGGTACTTTTTTTTAGTTACACTTAGTAATACAATTTTTTATTAATTTTTTAATCAATTCAATATGAATGCAAAATTTGTCTTCATAAAAATAACTAAAATAAAAATTAAGTGCAAACACTGTATTATTTACTGTATTCTGAGAGAAAAAGCTTTTGTGTATGCCTCAGTTTACCATACAAGAGCACACATTTTGTTTGTTACTTAAATTAACTTCTTTGTATGCTTGTTAATAAGCCGCTGTTTAAAAAATATCTCTGCTTAAAATTAAAAGGGCAATTTTTTTAAATTTAAGAATGATGCATGATAAATTGTGCTGTATAAATCAATTTCTGTTCAATCCTACCAATATATTTACTTCTTAGCCAAATGATGTTAAGTTGTTGATGCAATAAATGTTGTTTAAGAAAAAAACTAGTAGTAATAAGTAGTATAGTTTATATATTTACATGCATTAATAAAAAAAATATTGAACGTGCTGATTACTTGGCATAGAGCTAAATCTTACCATACTCAAAGAAGAATACGCTGCATAAAAATGGTATAACTTTGCTCAGAACTGTCCACCTCCTCAATAAAAAGCAAGTCCACACAGCTCTGTGGTTAGGGAAAGTTAGGTCGCTCAGCAGACTTTACCTTATGTACAACATGGTCAAACAGAAGAGTGCTAACCTGAAAGTCTTGAGTTTGGATCCCCACTTTGAGAGGACAGAGAAACAGGTGAACTCTACTTCATCTGTACAATGGACCATTAGTTTATCCCTTTATTTGCTGAGGGGAAGAACCAAATGAATCCGACTTTATTTGCCCTTTGGAAATTTTAGTGGACAGTTGTAACTTACTAATTTTTAAAAGATATAACAATACTGGACCCGAGTCATTTTGAAATGGAATGAAAAATAATTTGTTTCAGTTTCAGATCCAGATTATGTGTGTCCTCACCAGAAAACTAATACAAATATCAAACAGTGTGTTTATGTAATTTCAGGTTAAATTACCACCACTACCTCTTGTTCCTTTGGGTAGACATGGTGTCAACAGTCGCAAATGGCTACAGATGCCTCTAAATAACATTGAAAGTGAAATTCGCCAGAGAAGAAGGTATACTTTTGCTTTTATCTTCAGCATAATGTTCTGAAAAACTGTTACATGTGAAGCATGTTTTAATTATAAATGCGCCTGCTAGAATATAATAGGCATTGTTTTGCAATTCAAAGTTTTTTACACCTGTCATCTCAAAAATAAAATAGGCAAAACCAACAACAGCAGAAGGGAGAAATGCTAAAAGGTTGCCTTTTTTAAATTTATTTGTGAACATTCTTGAATTTAAAAAGTTATTTAACTGTTGAACTATTGTGCTATGCAGTTGAAAGCACTGAGCAAAAGTATGCAAGTTTAGAAGTTGAACTGCTTTTTTTTTTACATTTGATTGGGGGGGGGGATTTGTTTGGTTTTACATGGCAATATAGTTTTTTTGTGTTATAGGTTGTTTTTATTTTGGTATTAGAAAGAACACCTAGATCAGTGGCTCTTAACCTTTTTGGTATGGGACCCTACCAGTGTCACTCATCATGTGAGTCTGGTGTGTGTTGAATCCCTAAGCCTGACTCACCAAACCTGTAGGGTTCAATCAAACCCAGGTTAAGAATCACTGACCTATTTAAAAGCTATTAGATCCACTTATTATTAATATTTTAAAATTGAATGATGAATGGATGTTTTAATATAATTTTTTTTTTTGCAATCTTCATTCCATTTCTAAAACATGGTACTTTGAACTACATTTCTAAGAAAAATTATTCTGTAGGCCGCATATAAAAATATGAAATTAACTATTTTTGAAAATTGTTTCTATTTTCTACAAGCAATAAAAATGAAGGCTATGTATAATGTGGTCAACTTTCATTTTACAGAGGTAATTTATGGGTAGAACCTATATCACAACATCTGATTTGTATATTGGATAGTCTATGTGTAGTGCATGATCACTATTTAAAAATTGTGCATGATATAGATTTTACATTATTATGTCGTAAACACTTTAATATCAAATAATATGAAGAAGGGCTAGCAGTTTTTCTTACTTAAGTTTTGTTTCATGAGCCAATGTTTTTATGTTTATTTCTTAGCAGCTTTTAAAATGTGCTGTTATTAAAGACGACTGTTTTTTAATTTAGAACTGAGTGCTATATTTTGATCTTTTAAAATAAGTGTTAAATGGCATCTACCATTATTATTTTCTTTTACAAATAACATATTGAAATTTTGACTCACTTTGAAATCATTTATATTTAGTTCATTATCTATTTGAATTACGATTTCGTATGAAATACTTAATCATGTAGACTTCATTATTTAGAGAAACAATATAAAAAATTATAACTTTTATTTATCACTTCACTGTGGTTTGTGTTAAGGCACAGGTGAATCCACTGAAGAATAATACTTCTTATTTCACTAGCTCAGCTATATTATTTCTCCTTCACTTTTATGCCTATTTTGTTGTTTTAAAAACTTATCAATACATAAAGCTTCAACTAACATGTGAAATTATTCAATTAAAATGTGGTAAGTCAATGCTGATTTAACAAAACTGTTATAATGTTAATTATAGAAAAGTCAATGTATCTTTTGATAATACATTACAGGTAATATGGGTCACTCTATTATAACACAATGTAATAGGTGGTTAGAAAATCTATAATTTGACAGGACATAGTTGACTTGGCTAGTAAAAATTAAGTTGTAGGCTACTTGACAAAAGGCAGACTTCACTTAATTCAATATTTGTATCACTTAAAACTTAGTAATATCATAAACGTCTCAAAGTGGGCATGTTAACTAATAATGCACATTGTAGTAGAAATAGTTGTGATAATACAATTTATATGATTTTTTTATACTAACCCTCTATTTAATTAATGTTGGCAGATGACATTATTTTAATAGGCATATCCTTATACATCATAATTACTTTAGTATCTGGTTAATTTATTTTCAATTTTCCAGGAATCGAATGCTTGGAATCAACACAAAATCAGTCATTGACTTCGGCGCATGGTCATTGGCAGAATTTGATGCAAAGGTATAGAATAAATACAATTGTTTTATTATTTCAAAACTATCTTCATTTCAAAAGGTATTATCCAATTTTTTTTAAATCAATGATTTAGAAAAACTATTTCAAAGTAATTTTGTGCATGAAGTCAGAGAAATTTAAGAAGTCAAATCTTTGATGGTAGGTCTACAAGATCACTTTTTTGCAAAGTGATTTAGTGAAGCAAAGTGCACTTGCATTTATGGTATATTTTAACCAGGATTTATATCTAACTGGCTGATGTTATTTATCTCATTTGATTTTTTTCTACCTGAAAACACAGATTACTGAACAAGAACTTCAAATCCCAAAGAAACGAATATTTGCAGAAAAGCCCCCTTATGGGAAACCACCAGCCGAAGTACAGAAAGCACCCTTTATTGACCCGGAGGAATTTGCAGACAAAATCGTCAACACAAATCCATTTCCAGCGCACATAGCCAGACTTAAAGCTGAGGCAGAAGAAATGCGTGAATATTATAAATACCAACAAGAACAGTATGAGCGGTTCTTGCAAGAACAACCTTATTACATGGAGGACCAGATGACTCAACAGACATCAGATCAATTGCAACAGATTGTAACAGCTTAATATAGAGTTTTACTTTGAAAACGTGTTTATAAAAATGGCTTTTTGTTATGTTTGCTTTGTTACATTTTTAACTTACAGTTCTGTATCACTAATAGTGGAATTAAATATTTTATATATTAAAGTTATGACACATTTCATTCAATTCCTGTACATATTAAACATAATTTTCCAATGTTTAATCCTAATAACTAAAATTGGTGTCAGCAGGTAGATAATAGTTAGGCAAGATATTTGAAGAAAAAAAACATCTTTGCTTATGACTTTATTCCAGTTTTGAAATCTATACAATTAATAAAGGACTGATAATTTTATAATAAATGAGCTATACGTGGCACAACATTGATGCTGACTGAACATTTACATCTAGCATCATGAGTTTCATGATGGGCTAAATCCATTCGCAAGGTAAAACAATCATTACAATTACAGCAGACAGCACTGACTGACAAAAGTGATATTCAAAAGATAGGAAGTAAATGGTAAATTCATTGCATTACTAAATTTCTTTAGTTTAACTAGTTTGTGTTGTATCCAAATTTTTGTCCACACTTTTTGTTTAAGTTCAATTTTCTGAATAATCCAACTGGTTAAATAACTGGTTAAAATTTATTCAATAAATGTGCATACAAATACTAAATTTGTAAAAGAATGCTTTTTCTCCATTGAGATGATGTAGTATGACATTTCACAGGTAATAGGTTCACAAAATTAGACCATACTTTCCTTTTACATTATTACAGTGACCACAATCTAAAACCGAGAAAATAAATGTAAATGTTGGTTACCGCTTAGAACCTTACCCTTCTTAACTTCCCAATATATATATATATATTTACATATATATATTTGGCAAGTAATGTATATATTTTGAGGGGATAACCAATTCTAAGATGATATGCATTAAATAGCTCTATATGAATAAGCGCTTAAAGCAGTAGGTAACCTCAGTATGTACTTTTCAACACAAAATACATTCAACTTAACTGCTTGACTTAGTTCAAGTTGCACACATTGCTTACCCAAAGCAGAATCAACATTGACATGCAGTCCAATAAATAAGTATGAGCATGTGTGGACATGTCCAAAGAAAGTTTGGACTGCTTACTTCTTTACATCTTAATAAAAATGTTAATGAACTTTCATTCAATCCACTGGTCAAACCATCAATGAATACTAGACAGTGTGATATAACAGTACTATGTAACAAGGCAATCTACAAAAACATTCAACAAAAACTACACTAAGAGTAAGCTAAGATTTATAAAGAAAATAACTCAGAAATAACATGTATCTTTTACAAATTTTAAAGGCATGTTATTTCTTTAAAGTGAAGTATTAAATATTTGTATAGACATACATAATCTTTACTTGAAATATCTGGTGGGGTGACTTTTTTTAATACCTGTGGTCTAGATCAATAATAAATACAACAATAAAAAGAAAAATTAGAGTGCTCTTTATCTACTCAAGTTTTACTATAAAAAGTACAGCTAAATCAGACTATCACAAAATACAAGCCACTTGATTGACTAAATTATTCACACTTATTGTCATAGTGAAATGACATCATTGATCAAACATTTCATATATTTAACATACTTATTGCTCTAGCTAGGATTGATACTAAAATATATCAAAAGCTATTAACACTTATTTGGTCATATGAATTTTACGAAACTAAAAATTGTATAGTTCAAACATCAAAAGTAACTAACTATAATATAGAGAATAAGCATTACACGATAAAAGAAAAGAAATGGTGAATATCACAGAAACCGTATAAACAAATTTCCTCATACATAATTAGTTGTTTTTAGTCATTGAGTTAAAGACAGTTGAACTAAATTGCATTTAAAATATGGAACAATTACATTTGATAAATTCATGATACAATGAGTAGATGAGATAAAATGTATATAACTGTTGAATTCATGCATTGATAATTATTCTACAAAACATTGTTAGTTCATTAGACTTGGTCTGTTTTTGATTTTTATGAAACGAAGTAAATAAATATGTGAATAATTAAGTGAATATCTAAGTCAGAAAAATCAGAAACAGAATAGTATAAATTGCAAATAATACATCATCATTTTATAAACCAAATGCTACTAATGTTGCCCCAAAAACCAAAATATTGTGTTATACATGTGCTTGTTCATTTTATTTGCATGTGGTGATGCAAAGTAAGAACAGAGCCAAAAAATTAATACTTGCATGTAGATATTAAAAAATATTTATAAAAATGAAATGAAGACATGACTTGCAATATATACAAAATTTCACAAATATATAAGGAACTGTTGCTAGTCCCTGAAGCCATTCAGCTTCATATCATGTGTATTACTTGTTAACCTATAATGTATTTTCAGTGATTTTAATTTAAATTTTTTGCTCTACTTCACACTTGCATAAATGTTAAAAATTCATGATCCCACATCAACTCAGATATAATGTATCTCTACATAATTATTTCATCAATTTGTGAAAGTTAAAACAAGAATTGAAGAAATAAATTGTTTTAGGATGCGTAGACTAGCAGATATGAAAACAAAAACAGGTACAAATTAAAATATTTTGTTGGTGAACATTTGTTTTAAAAAAGTTTCAAGTGATTTTGGGGACAATATCACAAAGGTTAATTAGGAAATCTATTTCAGTTCTATGACTGAGTTCTAGAAATAAATGTTTGAGGAGAAAATAAGGCAGACCTTTAGAGCTTTCAAGCTCTGTATACTAGCATTTCTCTTACACCACAGTCAATATTATAACAGAATACCAGGCCAGATATACCTTACAGATAAAAATTTATATGAATGGCAGATCACATAACTAGCCACTACTCTCATTTTTCCTAGAATTAAATCCTTGAGGAAAATAAAGTAGATGTAAGTGAATGTAAGTTTTTTCAATACATAATTGCACATCATTAGTTAACTGGGCCCTAATGCATGGTGATGATTTGTTATTTCAAACTTAATTATTGCAGGGAGAGGTTGGTGCAGCAATAGTAACATTAAAAATGATTAGTATGTTTTTAATGTGTAAAGAAACACAAGAGCTTTAAAATTTTGTACAAGAAACCTCAGAAATAAATGCTGATTTAAAAAAAAAACATTGAAAAAAATTGTGAATTTCAACCAAAAACAAAGACAAAGCCAAATAAATTCTTATTAATTTATTGCTTGCTCCAGGCAAACAAATTAGTTCGTACAGTCTTTAAAATGTCTATTCTTGGAATTTGCACTCTTTATGTCAATCCTAACTGAAGACAGCATCACTGAGGTGTTAACTTGTTACATGAGACGTTCAGTTTTACATCCTTTAAACTGTATTTTCTTCTAGTATGTTACATGGCAAAGTTCAGCACAACCTAATGCAACTACATTTTCTGGGTCAAAATTTCATCTTCTAAAACAAAATCAAATGAAAAATGCACACTACCCGTAAGATAGTCCATGGTAATGTTTTAAAAACCCAAGTTCACAACAAACACTCAGTAACACACGCTAAACTAGTGGTGTGCTGGGTCTGCCATACTCTCTGCTATTTTGAATCAATAATAAAACTGCATCTGTAATAAAATAAATTAGATTGAAAATAATTGAATAATACTTTGGATCTTAAGTTTTTTTATTTAAAGTTTGATTTCTTTAAACAAATTAAGCTATTGCTCAGAAAAAACGGCCTAAAATAAAAAAAAATGTTGAAGTAGGAAAATTCATTAAAAAATCTACTGAACTAAATACCTAAAGATGTGTTAGATATACTGCTTTTACAAATTTCAGGAGGATAAATATGAGACTACTATTACTATGACAGACAATCACTCATTTTCATATTACTTTCCTCAATATTAGCATAAAAACCCTAATCTCTGATTTACATTGGCACAAAACATCAGTTAAGAAACTGAGTGCACACAAAAAAAAGGGATTGTTTAATGAATTAACAATTACAGCCTCATAAGACTTTTTGCCCTCTATTCCCAGCCCATTTTTATGATTTGCCCCTTCCTGCCTAGAGATTATTTTTCCATAGTCACCATTCTCATAGGGTTCAAAGCAATATATGCAGTATATTTGTTTTTAAAAATTGATAATGAAATGTATAGCATTGAGTAAAATTAAATGAAGATAGATGTACCAATAAATTGATCACAATACATATTTTATTATGGTAACCATTTGGTGTTTGAGCATTGGATTATCGGGACTAGGTGTGATGTGTAGCTACTCTAAATATTTACATCGGGATTTAAAGCAGTTCTATTCCATTTATTAATGTGCAACAAATTATATTCTTCTAAATCTGATTAAACTTTAATAGTAGTGGTCAAAATTTTGCTCTTAAGTTTCCAACAGTTCCCATGACAGGGGATAGACAGTGGAATCAAGATAAATAATTCTTATGGTTTTGTGAGAAATCGGAAACATAAAATGCTAATAAATTGAAAATGAATGACAAAGCAAATCTTACCATCAGTCTCACAATGCCCCAAAAGGATCATTCACATTGCCAGTTTGCCCTGCTTGTGCTTGTGGAGGCCGAGGTTGTTGGAAGCCACCCATCATTGGCATCCTTTGCATTCCATATATGTTTGGATTAGGCATACCCATTTGTGGTGCCATTCCCATTCCCATAGGTTGGCCCATCTAAAATACAAGTTTAAAAGCTCTGCCAAAATGTCACACTATTTAACAATGCTAAATGACAAAAAAATAATTCTAAGAACAAAATTACCAAAAAAGATTAGAAAGTTTTTCAGTACACTAGCAAATGGTTTCTAGTTTAAAATCACACTTTTTGTTGATTATAAATTGTCACCAAAAAAAGTTGTGCATTACAGTACATATACTAAGTTAACAAAGCATCCCAAACAGATACACTACAGAAAAATAAATGAACAAAACCTTTACCAAACTTACCATCATTGGTTGAACCATCGGTGCTCCCATAGGTGCTCCCATTGGCGCTCCTCCCATTGGTGCAGGGTACATCATCGGTGCTCCAGGAGCTCCCATCTAAGATTAACGTAAGTTTTATCAGTGTAAGGCTAATTTACGCATAAAAATCTAAAACTTTAAACCATGTCTATGTGCATGCATCTGTTCATAAATAAGAAAAAGAAAACATGCACACAAAAAAGGAGCTAAAGTACCATGGGCTGTTGGAAGACCGGCTGAGCTCCCCATGGTGTTGTGGTAGATGGTGCAACTGGCTGACGCTGGAATGCATTTCCTCCTGTTAGTTTACTTTCACCTTTAGGCTGCCATTGATGATCTCTGATTATTAAAGGATTATATACATGTATATAGGATATATGTAATAAAAATGTGAATGGGTAACTTTTGTCTTTAAGTTCATTTTTACCAATCTCTAGGTATTGAAATTGTGTACAAATAAGTTAATTTTAAAAAGTAAATACAAACTTTTTAGATGCAGTGGCACCTCCGCGCACATTGAGATTTGAAGCTATAGAAGCCAATGAAGTATCTAAGTCCTTGCCAATAGGCTTAGCTTGCAGTGATGGCTGAGGTGTTTGGGACGGTGATGTTTTGTTCATAGGTTGGAGAACATCCCCAAATGCATCGAACCCTTAATAAAAGTTAATACTATTAATGTAATGTGCAACAAGTTATTGTTGCATACAAATAGGCTACCACTATAAAAACATTTAGGAGTTTTTGTAATCCTGAATTGAAAATAACTTTGTACTGTGAAGTTGCTGTTTTATGTCAATTATTTTTAAAATGTTTTTACAGTTCTTATTAATTTAGAATTCTAATTAGCTACTTATGAAAAGTATTCAAGAACCTTTATAGACGATCACATATTATTAAAAAAAAATAATTGTAATATTAACACAATATTAAAACAAACTGCAACTAAATATGTTGAGAATAAAGAAACAAATATCATGCAAATCAAATATAGAAAATCTATTCAATCTAATTACAATGAAACCTCTTAAAAAATCATTGCTAGATCTATGTAAATTTACATGCAGACTTGGTACTACTAGATTTGTTTTACTTTAAATATGTTTATCATTAACTGGCACATCTACATCAAAACTGCAAGTATTATAGGGAAAAACACAGGATGGTAGAGCAATGATAGAGCATCCAAATAGACAAAGTTAAAAAGCAAAAAATGTTATGAAGATTTGATTTAAGCTGAAGTTTTTTTAATTGTATTACTGTGAAAAGGTATAATACAGTTTTTAAATATTAAAATAGGAGTAATACTTGTTAAGAATTTAAATTAGTAGTAAAAAAATTAAGGAAAATAAATTTTCAACCAGCTGAAAAAAGTAAATCAGTTCACCTTGAATCGTGTTTAAGTAATTTGATGTGAACTGACCTTAAAGAGTGAAAAGATAGTTTAAATGAAATAATAAATATTATTTAAATTCATTATCTTATGTTGGCAGAATGTTTTTTTTAGTGCTAAAATTTTACTAACTTGGTTTTAAAATAAAAAGCAAGTGCAGTAAAACAAAAAACCTGTTTAAAAAGGAACATTTAAACATCATTTTAGAAGGTGAGACAATCTGTTACTGACAGAACTAAAAATTTTGGGTGATTGACTAAGTCTTGAGTATTAAGATAAAAGAAATAGTTACATTTGCTTATAACTAAATGACATTACCAAGAGAGTTCAATTTACAAAAGTTATCTTTCTATATTTTTTGCTTTGCTATTATGTTTTATTAAATTATCTAGAAAAAATATTAACCAACATATTTAAATATCACATTAATAATAGACACTGAGTAAAATAAGCAACTAGTTCAATTAAAAAATTCATTTATCTAAGACTGCATTACAAAAATAAAACATATCAAAACACGAATATAAAATAAATTCAGGAAAAAATGTTAATTAGAATACTAAATCAACTTCTACAAGTTTAGGTGAGATTATTGTTTCAACATCTACAATATGTTCTGAAATACTAGTTAACTAGGTTTACAATACATTTACAAATAGACATAAGTGAATGTCACTAACACACAATAAAGTGCAGATATTAAGTTTCAGGAACAATTCTTAATCTGGGTAAGAAGTCCATAAGGAAATAGAACTCTTTTGTAAGGTCGTTTCCATTTATTTACTTCTAACAAACAAGAAATATAAGCAAAAATGGAAAGTAACTGAGTTCTAGGACTACAACAAAAAATAACATTGATGAATGAATGCCATTTAAATTTTACACTAACATAAATAAAGATTGTTGATGAAATACCTTGACCTGATTGAGTGAGTTCATATTCCTGGGTGCCCTGACTTAGTGTTGGGTCAGGCTGGTCACCTTCCCCACCCATCTCACCATAGCTTCCAGGGGCAATGTTGCCCATTGGATACCCAAAAAGACCAGCATTACCAACCCCAGCATTAGTGGGTTGGCCTGGTGACAGGGGCCTAGATTCTGGCTTTGTGCTACTTTTACCAACTCCCTTAGAAGGGGACATTGTTAGACCAAGAGCTTTAACAGCATCTTCTAAACCTGGTCCTGAAGGAGAAGAGGACAGGGAGGCAGCTGGTGATTTCCCACCCCTAGTCATTATTCTAGCTGGAGAGCCTCCAACACCCAAATTAGGACTCCCGGGAGCTGTTACTCCAACTGGATGCCTAATGGTACCTGGAATAACTACAGGTAAAGCCTGGCCTGGTGTCTGATAATAACTCTGGCCTGGCCCAGGACGTGTTCCCTGAACCATCATTCCAACAGGTGCTTGACCATAAAAGTTGCTTTGATTCAGATTAGGCATCCCACCACCTGGATGCATTGGAACTGACATAGATGGGCTGCTAAAATGTCCTGAAGAATCTAAGGACATGGTGTTTGTCCCATACCCTGCTACTGGAGAGGGAATTTGCATGTTATCACTCTCAAATCCAGAATAAGGGCCTCCCAAAGAATGTGATGATGGGGCAGGAGAAGGCTGACCAGCTCCCACAGTAAAGTCAGAGGACAACCCTGGACTAGGAGTTACTGAAACTCCCCCTGACCCTTCTAATAGGTCAAAGGAAGTAACCAAGTCCAGATCTACTGGTTTCCAAGAAAAAGCATTAAGTTAAGTGTAGAGGTAGCAGTTGTGAGAGAAAAAAGAAAAAAATATATCAATGAACTAGTATTAAAATGAAATGCTTATCAAATATTAATAATATATTATGGTAAGGAAACTTAGTATATCTCAGCAAATAACATTCTGAATGAATTTAAAAGTAAAACAATTTAACTGAATTGATAAATATATAACCATAAGCCATATTGTTTCAGTTTGGTAAAATAAAGCTAGGAACACTAGTAATTAGTATAGGCAATATTAGTATTAGCTAGGATGAAAGCGCATATAACTTAAGGAGCAAAAATAGCAGTTCTACTTAAAAAGATCTTAGGTATTACAAGATATTTTATTTTTAAGCATTAATATTTGACACACAAGAGCTGATTTATATTATTTACAAAAAACCAACATGGTTTTAAAATTCAAGTGCTATATTGTTTAAAAAATTAAAAATCAAATAAAAAGTTTTAAAAGTAATAACAGAATCTTAAAGAAAAACACTGAAACAATTTAGCAAATATGCGAGTACTATTTTTATTTCATTATCACTGCTTTGTATTCTTTTAATCTTATTTCTTTTAAAAATACTTTTTGTTTATTGTATTAATTCAAGCTGCATCACACTACTTAATAACCTAGTTACTTTGCTATTGTGAAAGATCTGCTTAGAGAGGTTTAAGGTTAAATCTTATACCTGGTGGGGCATTGGAGATTGGCGTCACAGATGGACCAAGGCCAAACCCTGAAACAGCTGTATACATCCACAAGTTGAAACAGAATTCAGTACCAATCCAATATCATGGGTGAAGCAACACAGTACACCCATGCAAACCACACACATTTTAGTGGCGGTTGGTTGTAGAAGCAGTAGTAGTGGTTGTTGAGAGAAGATTGAGGATGCATCGATGTACACAAAGCCCATATGAGTTGTAGCCAAATAGGCAATCAGGAAATGAAGTAGCAAGAGGAGACGTAGAAGTAAAAATGTTAGCATGCAGATAGTGAAGAGAGAATTTTCAGAAAAAGCAAAACGTGCATTGATAACAGGTTGATAAAGAAGAAGGGTGGTATTATTTTACCCCTTAAAATAAAAACCAATAATTAGATTAAATCCACTAAATTCAAAGCAAATTAATTTGATTAATAAATACAACCAAATTCTATGATTTGACTACGTGCCAAAAGAAAATAAATCTACAAATCTGCATTTATTAATGTTTAAGTATAAATACAGCACATCAATGCAAAATTATTTATCTTATTAGAAACTTACATTATATAGCTATTACTCATTTTTTTAAAAACTGGATTGATCATTGATGATCTATAATATGTAGTAATTTATCAGAATAAGTAGTACCAATAAAAATAAACCCAACATACTGTAAGAAAAATGTATACATAACACTGATAAGCTGGTGTAATGAATGGTTTTTTAAGGTACACTTATAAAAAAAAATTTAAGTTTTGAAATCAAAGTTAATCAATTTTTATAAGGATTATATGAATGATACATTGCCAAAAGTAAGCATACATTGATTCACAACTTTAAGAGAAAAAAGGTATAAAATCATATATGACATATACTGAGAATGAGCAGCACAATGAGGACAATGAAACAGTTTGCAAAAATAATGTTACAAAACAATGAAGAACAACTGGACAAATGGAAACCTCGTTTAAACCTGCAAGTGCTCAAACAATAACTCTTGTCTAGCCACAATAATGTTTATTTAAAAATATATTTTCTATGTGTGAAATTGTAAAAAAAAAAAGTACCTTGTGCATTTGTTCCTCCATTGCTAAAGGCTTTGGCAAAATCTGCATCTGATGTAAAAACATTGCTACTTCCAGATGAATTTGCAAAGCCTGTATGGAAAGGAATAATTATTTATGTAGACAATTACTGGAGCCACTTGTTGAACTATTTATATAACTTTTAACAATCAAAATCCTTAACTATTTAAAATATAACTATCTAACACAGTAATTTATTTTACCATTGGTCTGGAAACTTGGTGCACCAAATGGGTTATTACTCTGAACAGGATAAGCTGATGCCATTACATTCTGAACATTATCCATGAAAGGGTTTCCAGCTAAACTAAGGAGATCATCACTTGGTCTGCTAGATGAAGAAGGAGCAACAGGTTCTGTTGGGGAGCCAAATAGATTTTGTGCTTGTGATGTACTTGCAGGTGAGGCAAAGGGGTTGTTAGAAGTTGGTGCAGCCTTTTGTTGTGGTGATGATGCTTCCTTTAATTTTTGTTCCTAATTTTAAATAAAAATGTATGATTTTAGACTTATGACTGAAATTATTAATTAATAAAAAATTGTGAAAGATTAATAAAAAGATTATATAAGGACAAACAGCTTATTATGTTTTAAATAAATATTAAAATGGATGAAAATAATTTCATGGTAGACAAAGCATATATGCTACTTAATTCAGCTGTTTCAAAACTACAAAAAATGCAAAACATAAGTTTTGACTATCATCAAATAAACTACTTGTCTTCAAACATACTGAAGATAATTATAAAACAAGTATTGAAATAATATTGAGGCATTAGCAAAACAAAAAGGTCTAAGACTAAAATTTATATCATAATTATCCATAAAACTCCCAGCAGTTCACATAAAGTTTTGGATCTATAAAGACTAGCAAATAAATGACATTATTTAAGTTAAGGGAACCCACACAAAAATCAACAGGAGAAAAGCAGCATTTTAAAAGTTAACTCTTGAATCTAGTAATATAAAGACTACATATTTAACTGCAACTATGTATCGCTATAACTATAATGGATGTATTTAATACATCTTTATAATAATTTGATAAAATTTGTCAGGTTAAAGTAAACCTAGTTTAACAGAGTTGTTTTTTTTAGAACCTAAGTAGTTACATTTATATTTTAATCAAAATGTGACTTGTACTAGTGATCTCTGCAGAAATTGTGTTTTATTCATTTAACTATATTCTACCATTGATGTAAAGAAAATTATAAATTTTATTTTGACATAAATAGAACTAAGTTCCTTTAAATATATCATTCCAGCAATTAGTAGCTTTATTTATAAGCTTTAGTTAGTAGGGTAAGAATGCAAGCTTTATTAAATTTAGGAATAAATGCTAAGATACAGATGGTTTTATGTCATTTGACGTTTACTAGACATTGACATATAAACAAGTAATGTGTATTTGTGTATGAAATCTGATTTGTTACCACCATCCATGTAAGAAAACCATATAAGCTGCACAGAATAACAAAGAATCAAAATGTATAAATGCAAACAAAAATTCTTGAAACAAGTGTAGCTAGAATTCTCGAGTCCAGTGAGCTGTGACAAGCACCCAATTTAAATCAGGCCTGATGACTATATTGACAGATATTCACAGATAATCATACATGGACTGCAAAAATGAACTTTAATTAATCTGCCCTTTACTCTTATGTCTTAATACATTTACTTACCTATTCCAGGCACTAAGCATGATGGTAATGGTACCAAACATACAGGTTGAAACCTATCTGCTTGTATAAAAATATGTTGCTGTGGGCAAGTAACCCACATATACTAAAAACTTTTAAATACAAATGCCCTGGAACAGAGAGCTTGGTTAAATGCATGTAGCTTTACATGCTAAAACCTGTAGGGTAGAAGTTTTCCCCAGTTTATAAATGAAGTTACCCACCTACATAGCTGTAAGAAGAAAATCATGAAAATGGCACAAGGGTGACATGGCTATTGGGAAAAGGTAGAAACTGACCATATATGCTGGAAGAAAGGAAGTTAATAAAACAGCCAATTTAAAATTCTTACCAAAAGGCTCAATATTTTATATTTAACACATTTTGATTCAATGTAATAATAAGTAAACAAATGTTGATATATATATATATATATAAATATTCATAATAAAAATTCAATGATGAATATGAACTATATAAAAATTAAGTCAAGTTGTAATATCTGTAGTCAACAAGAGAAAGAAAACATATTGGCACTTCTTCATTTTAAAATCTATGTTTTATCAGATTTGTAAAGAACAGCATGAACTGCTGAAATTGAGCAAATACTTTAATTGAACTTCAAACAGGACACAATTTTAACACTATAACTAAAATGAAGAATGAAGTAGTATGGAAATGTTTCTTGATAACAAGGCAATTTTCCAAACCCAAATCTTTTTAGAGAAAATTTCATGCTCAAGTTGTTAAGTTTTTTCAGGTAGGCGGGTAAAAAGAAAAATATTACCTATCTGTAACTAAGTGTTACAGGGTGTTTGGTTGTGGTTAAGTGTGCAATTAGGAGAGTCAGATTATTATTAGAAAAAAAGGATTTCTTCATTTCATAATTTTCATGCATAAAATAACTGAGTATCCAAATAATAAATGAAAGAATGAAACAATACATGCAACAAAGGGCATTCTTAACAAACAAAACAACAATTTTAAAGGACTATACATAATTAGATATTTACAAAAAAATTCAACAGGTTATCTCGTTCATGATTACTACACGCACAACTACAAAAGAGACTTCATTTTTCTTGTTTCAAATGTAATCCATGCTTCAACAAAAGCATAAAAACTAGTGGGTTTTTTTTAGGTTACAGATTTAATGTCTATTTAAAAAATCAAGCCTACCAACCAATCGATGAAACAATGTGCTAGCTAAGTAGTGTGGCTTAAAAATAGATTGATTTCAATCAAGTAGCTGTTTTTAAAAAATCATTTTACTTCAAATTGTTATTTCATTGTCTATATATAATGCTTTAATATTGTTTAAAAAGTATAACACTTTTTGGATATTTCAGAAATTATGAGCCACTGGATCATTTTCTTTCACAGAAATTTTTATTGACTCCAGATTTTACTTTTTAAAAACAGTTTATTCTGACACATTATGATTATAACAAAACATTTCATTAACCATTTTTCTTTAAAATATTCAATAGAATGAAATATATGGTAACTACACATACATTTACTGGAAGACACATAATCTAACTAGTGACCTTGCGCCAAGTAGGAATGAGGAACAACATTTGTGTAAAAGTAAATAAAATAGCAGAGACCATTTCTGCTAATGGCTGTTTTGGTAACTGTTAGAATTACTCACAAAGATATTTTCAGTGTCTCCTTCCTCTGCCTCAACATTCAGTTGAGGTTCATCTGTAGCCTGCCCGATGAAATAGTTTTCATTTACATAATGCATGTGCTTACATTTTGCCAGGCATTTCACATTTTTTAAATTATATGCTTTACTTGTTTATAATAGATAAATCATCAAAGGGGATTAAACTGGAGATTGTAACACTTCATATTTAAAGCCTGGAGATATATGAATATGAAGCAAAAAGATTGATCAAAGCAAACATATTATCTATTAGGTATTCATTTACAACATATTTAAATTATTATAAGTAACTTGAAACTAATAAAAACTTGAAACTAATGAAACAACAAAACTTTGATTAAACTATGTGTGTTAGACTTTTTATATGAAGCAAATTATCTGAAAAAGCAAATGTTATAAAAATCATAAGTGATCTGACATCGAAAGGTTGGCAGGATAAGTAATAAATCTTTTAGTAGCCTAAGCAAAAGAAATTGAAGAATGTTGAAACATTAAAAGAAATTAACAATAGTTTTTATAAGTTAGTTCAATGTTGTGAATGATATCTAGAAAATAAAAAGGTTTTATTTTTTTTTAAATACACATGTAAGCAAGAAAAGATTGATGTACAGTAAAGTATGCGGTTTAAATATATTGAATATGCACAGCCACTTTCAAACAAACTGTAACTCTTATGCTTTGAAATGCAACATTTATAAGAGACCAAATCAAAGATTGTTAGTTGTCGCATTTAACAGAAAACAAACATGAGTTCAATTTTACAATCAATATATTTTGTAAAAATGTCTACAAAATTAAGAAGGTGAAATGCAAGAATGAAAAAAGTAATTTTTATATTTATTAACCTTTTTGGTGTGCAAATGCTTTGCAGTATAAAGTAAATGGCAGTTCGTATCACTAACCTTGAGTTTTTGTAACTGCTGATTCTCTTCATCCAATATTCTTTTTCTTTCTGCTTCTGATACACTGTAAGTATTTGTTGTCATTGTGTTTAGAGCTGAGGCAAAACCAACAGGCCTGCAAAACAACAGAATCACAGGTTTATTACTTTAACTTGCAAAGCTTATGCAAGAAATATTTTATTTTCCCTTATATAACCTAGCCATCAGAAAATGAAACATATTTCTCAATTAAGCAAGCAGTGAAGCTACCACAATGATGGGTTTGATGCGTTATTTAGACATGAATTGTTTTAAAAAATGTAAATAAAGATCATACTTGCTAGCACTGGTTGGGGTGGTTGCGACTCCCTTTTTTCCTTCTAGAGAAGCCAAATGTTGTTCTAATGCATCTAATAAACTAGCTGGTGCCTGTATCATATATGAAAAAATGTCAATGGCAGACTAAGTTAATAAATTATAATAATAATAACCATTAGGTGGCACTAAGAATTTTTGTAATAAATTCATATGGTTTCTTTTTGTACTGTCATGGCAGAAAAATCACAAAATACAATCCTTAATTGGTACTTATAAATTTATAATTATAATAGATCACCATAAACTTCAAAATATTATACCTATTATATAAAAGCAAAATTCATGCTGTTAGTAATAGACTATTTTAAAATGATTTTAATTACATTTTAATTGTTTACTTAAAAATACCAAAATCAAGTCAAAAAGACTAGCATAAGCATCTATATGCTGTTAGAATTAGTAGTATAACTAAATAGTCTTAATTTTGGATGCAGTTCAGCAGTTTTATAGTTCTACATTCTAAAAATAAGACAATATGACACTAAACCTGAAACAGTGAAATTACACCATAATTTTCCACCAACTATTAATATTTAGAACCTTTTTTTTTGTTCATTTGAATAGCAATCACCACCTAGCTCTAGTCATTAAGCTAGTCAAAATTTGAAGTCTAGAAACATTTCTTATTTGTACATATTTAAATGAAAATCAATTGATTTGTCTGTTATGCTTCAAAAATTGTCACTGACAAAGTGGCTTCCCAAAAATTAATAAGATAACCTAGTGAAAATGACTAACAAAGACACTCTTTTAATCAGTTCATCTGTATGTTCAAGTCTATAGATAGAAAAACTATTTTTATATAAGTGATAGAAAAACATATTTTCTGAAGAAAAAAATGCATGATTCATGTCTGTTTTTATTAAATGCAGGTAAATATTCATATCTATATGTTCCCTTCTAATCCTTTTAATTGGATACACATATCATAATTTTTTTTTTAATCTACAACATAGTCTTAACTAAAATAATTGAATAGATGTGATACTCATATAAAAGGGGGAAAATAAATTGAAGGTAGGAAAAAAAAAGAGAGGTGCTACTTTACACTTAACAGTATGTGGTTGCAAGGAAAGAATACTTATGCCCTAAAAGCAAATTTATCCAGAAAGGTACTCTTATCTGGATACAGTCAACCTTTTTTTTTTAAATAATGCAGTTATTAGCGTTATATAAAAAAAAACTATTAGATTTTGCTAAAGATTAAATACTTGCAAACACACTTACTGAGGTAGAATTTGCTTTCATACCCTGAAATGAATATTCAGGAAACAAAAAAGGAAAAAAATATCTAAAACAAAACAGCACATAAAGTAGAACCTCTCTTGAAAGAATTTTCAAGTAAATAAACAATCTAATGTTAATAACAAAAAAAACAATATCATAGAGACAGCAGGGAGTTCGTTTTTAATTTTGACATTATTTTGTAACCAGCTTTAAGAAAACTTTATCTCAATTAACGACTTTGTAAGACATTTAATGGGTTATAATTTTAACATTTGGTTAGATATTTGTTAATAAACTCTGTATCTCCCCAAAAGAGGTTCGCAAAAAAAATTTATCCACAAAACTATCAAGTGGAATTCTATATACAGATCCCTTTATTAGTAAAAAAAAAAATGTAAGGGCATATAAAAAAATATAAAGGTTTAACACAAACTAACTCAGTAGTTCATACATTCAATATAGGCTATATTACAACATGAATAAATAAATTTTAAAATGGAATATTTGACACCAAAACGCTACCAATAAAGAAAGAGTGGGTTATGTAATGAACAAGATTGCTCTAAGACTGTTATTATTAAAAACGAGCCGGCCCGCGGCATAACATACGCCGCTATTTAATTGTTTCTAATTTTCAATAATTCATAATTTGTGAATTCGACAGTACCAACGCTGACACTGAAAATATTTCTTTAAAACACTATAAGTAGCTCGTTAAGGACCATAACCCCCCCCCCCCTCCCCCCCCTTACGTTTAAAATCGTTGGCTCTGCTTGTAAACATTTAGAGTGAACACAGCTCACTAAAACCATGTAGGGGTGGGGAGGTAGGGAGAGCGTTTGCAGCTTGTTTTCTAACGGCTCGAAGAAGAGAATTATATATATAGATAATATAAATCGCACAAAAATATATTTTAAAAGTAAACTTTTCACTTAAAAAGAGAAAAACAGAACTGGCTTAAAGGAATAAAACAAATGACAGATAATTTAACAAGTGACTGAAAAGTAATTTTAAAACAGACTTGTCCACTTTATATATTGTGTACAAACAGACTAAAATGTAGGTAGAAAAATAGTCACCAAAACATAAATTGACCAATCAGAGTCATGACTAAAGTAAAAGATTGCTTAACATGATGTTATTTAGTAGATGGGGTGGTAGGTAAGATGGGACAGGAATAACTGAACAAGTGGTTATTGCTATGATTCGTTATTTATATAATAATTGTGTATACTGGAGTACTTAAAGCAAAATTTGACAGAATTGATAGATTTAAAGTTGGAATAGTACCAGTTTTAATTTATTTCGAGCAATAAGCCATTTAATTATTTATTCTTTTAATATTATAAATCATCTTTTCGGTCTGGCTATTGTTTTTAGACAAACAAGTTCCTTAACTATCTGATTCACAATTTTATTTGAACACAATTTTCTTAAACTGCTTTAGCAAGAAAAAGCTGTCTCATGTGACTAATCATTAGCACGATAACAATCTCAAAGAAAATGTGTGTGAAAAAAAATTGTTTTAAATTAAAGATAGATATCAATTACAGCCAACCCTACCATTCAAACTGATAGAATGTTCAGACAAAAGAAAAGATTTTTCTCTGATATGACTACAGAATGGATTTAGTAAAATAATTTAGTGTCTATGCCTTAAAAAGAGTGACCCTAAGTTGTGAGTCAGAGAATGTGTAGTTAAATAAGTCTATGAAAAATATTTCACAAGACCAAAATGCTCAGTTATCTATTTAAAATAAGCGGAAAATGTGGAATAGCAAACTTCAAGAATTGTGGAGTGAACAAACTGGCATGGTTCTGATGCACTGAGGCATAGGTTATAACAACAACAAACCTTCTGAAGCATGGGAGAAATAGTGCTCCCTTCATCCTACAATAAGATTTAAGTAATTAACATCTACCCGGAGGAATCTATTTTTTTTCACCAATAGCAATAGGATGGTAGATTTTCTAGTAACATTTTTAAAAAGGCACAGTCTCCCTAAAAGCAAAAACTGCCATCTTTTCAAAGTCAGATAGAGGTAGCATGAGAACAAAATGCAGAATTTACACTTATGTTATAAAAAGGAAACTGGCAGCTGACAAAAAAATTAAACCAACTCTCTTTGATGGAAATGGTAATTTTGTTTTGGTAATAGTTTATAGGAAATAGCCCCCACCCCTTGTATTTTGAAAATACAACATATCACATAAACAATAGTGAAAAATTATATCAATAAAACAATACATCAACAAGCAGTAACAAAATTAGTTAAAACAACCAAATTGTTTACTCCTTACCTTTGCTAAGTCTGGAATATCACCTTTATCTATACCCATATTCTGTAACACAGAAAAGTTAAAAATAATTTTTCTGAACAACATTCAAACTTTGAACAACTAACTTAAGCAATAAGAAAATACAACAACATATTTCTTAAAATTACCTCTGCAACTTTCAAAAACTCTGAGACTTTATCCATTCTAACCAAAAACTTTTTATACAAGTCCAATGCATCTTTACACTGTTTTTTGTTCATATCAAAATATTTCTCTGTGGGGGAAAAAGTCAAATAGAATATCAAAATAGCTTTCTTTCAGATCTCACAGTACATACGCAAAAATACATTAATGTTTTATGTTTTTTGACCTCAACATACAATGGGATTGTTTGGACCATCTTTACTTTCCCAGGTAACCATAATGGCTTGGAAAATTCAGGGATGTCCTACAAGATTTAATAGCTTATTAAAGCAATTATGTGCTATGGCCTACTTAACAATTTTGCTAATGTTGTACCTTCTCTATCTTCTTAACAACACTTGTTAACTTAAGATTATAAAAGCAAGAAGTAACATTGCAAATAACTACCATACACACAGCAGTCATAAACTTACCTAGCAAATTGATGACACCATCATTGTAACAAGCAAACAACCTAATGAGGTCTTTGAAAAGCAGCATGAAACAGGCTGTTATAACACCATTAGTTAATTCATTTGGTGTACACTGAAATTTACGACAAAATCTTTAATAATAATGCGAGTTATTAGCTTCTTTACAAAACTGAATGAACAATCTCAACAAATGCATTTTGGGAGACAGACCATTATTAATATTTTTTAATAAACTGTGATTTAACTGCTAGAAAGTAAGCTATTTTAAAAAGATTATCTATTTCTGAACAGTAAGAAACAAATAAAACTCACATCAAACTCCAGCAGTGCATCTAATTGCTGCTGTAATATCGGCAGTGTTTTCAAAAGCTGGTAGGAAAAAATATGACCCATAAGAATTTTAATTTTAGAGAACATTAAATATGGGCAATGCAAAATATTGTATTGTCTGATCATCTGCATTTAGTATTTACCTTATCTGTATTCATTGTTCGAAGCAAGCCATCGTCTTTTCTGAAAGCAAAAATGCACTAAATCAATATCAAGGCCATATGCAACATGCAAGCATTTCGAGTAGCTGATTAAACAAATCCTACTAGCTTCTTATCTGTTGAGCTATGATAAGAGATAACAAATTAAAGATTAAATCTAAAACTAAATTGTGCTAATTATAACCAGGTTAGTACATTTCTATCAGACAAAAGATACAAATATTTTTACCCTCTTTTCACTTTGCAAAAATCAAATGCCATTAGCCTGTAAGATATAGCTTTTTCATTCAGATACTTAGCATACCGTCGAATGTAGGTTGACATGTCATAACCTAATGAAAGATTTAATTTGTATGTTATTAAGTTATAAATTATTAAAAAATAAAAGAATACAAGTTCAGTTAAACAATAAAAATATCAGTATCATTTTAAGAAATATCATATTATAAACTATGAAATTAAACTGCTTCAATTTCAGTCTTCAAAAATAAAATATGATTGACCTTGAACTCCTCCTTTGTCCACAAAGCCACTGAGATTAAATGAACAGTTGTTAGATGCTAAATACTGAGTGAATCTCTGCAGAGTAATTAAACAATAATTTATTTGCAAGGTTAATTTATGATTAGAATACTCTAACTATAGTAAATATATATATTTATATATAACAGTATAATAATAAAAATGTAATATATTACAAACTAAAAGAGATCACATTTTCTTTTCTAGTGAAATTATTTATTTTTCTATATACTGTTCCTCCCTACACTGCATGCAAACAAACAATAGTTTCATATGAGAATGTTGACTGTTCATAAGTCAGTGTCCAATCACATGAGAATTAAAAGTACATTAGAAATGGACCACCAGGCAGGCAATATAATGTGAACACCCATCATTTATTCCCCCCCCCCCCCCCCATAACAGTCCAGTTATCTCATGCTTCTTTAATATATAACTTTGTAAGGGGGAAAACCCTGTCCAAATCATTATTTTGTCACCCCATCTTTATTAAGTTAACTAGGATATCAGAACATGAGCCTAGCAGACAACTCTTATGCACCACTGTAGGCCTACTCATTATACTTAATACTATTCAAAATTGGTGTTACTACAAATTTATTGGGAAATAAAACCTATATAGCAGTTGGGTATTATTATTAATATTTAAATAAATAGAGCACATGTACATGGTTAGGACAGTGTTCATATGCTTAGACCAATGGAGCAGTCATGTGGCAGTTGCCATTATACACAATTTTATATTTATATCTAATATGGTTAATATGGTACAAGGATGGAATTATCTTTTTATAAAGATGACATCTACCAATCTCTTAAGATTATTTTTAGACTATATTTTTAATGCAAACAAAAAATTTCACCTCATTGCCATAATTCATAAGATTGTGTATAGATACGAGAGCCTTGAACACCACCACCCAACTCTGATGCTGTGTCCTTTCTATAAGCAGGTCTGCCATTTGTGGGATAGAAACATTGGGTTCATTTGTGCACTGCAAAAGATCTGTGGATAAAATAATGCATATGTCAACAGTTTTTTTCTTTTTTAGAGTTATATTAAAGATGTAATTGTACCTGTGTCTGTGATAAGTGACCGATTTGCAACAATACCTCAAATTACTCAAAAACCAGTGTTTATGACTTAAATCAATGGCAATTAACTGCAAGGTATAATCAATATAAGTTATTGAAACACCAATGTAAATTGTAACTAATTAAGGGACTGAAATAATTTTCAATAACCTCTGCAACTATACTTGCAAAAAATGAGATTGTTTACACATGACCAGCCACCCAAAAGTGTTTTTAAGTCATTCCTTGTTTTTTACAATTTTTTTGTGTGTATTTTTAATATTTAAGCCTACATTGAATTTAGAAATTATACTGTAAAAGAAGTAAGAAATGCTTTTAATGTCAATCAGTACAAAGTTAAGAAATGATTAAGAACTAAAGAATATTTAAAATCATTATCTACCGAACATATATTTCTGTACCTCTACTTTTGCTGGCCTATTTTGCTTAAAACGGGTAAAACTAATATTTTAAAACTCTTGAGTTAAATAATGTTAATGTTTTTAAACTTCAGGATATTGATTTGAGCCTGCTTTTCAATGTTATAGTCAAAGATACTTCTATGAAAAAAACTGAACCCTATTTCTTAATTAAATTACAACCAATCATCAAGTTTTTCAAACAATATGGACAATCATTCATTTATTAATAGTCTTGCATTTAGATAATTTTATTTATTCTGTTAGACTACTTACTTGTATTACTTCTCATCAAGTAGGTAAAATTTTAGCCTACTAGATCTAGATACTTTCTAGATCTAGTAGCCTGAACTATACTCAGTCAAATTGAGTAGATGTAAAATTTTAAATTCTACTAACTGGTAAAAAAAACAAATATCATATAAAAATAAAAAAATATGTGTTCTTGCAGACCTCCCTTAGGAGAAAACAAAACAGAAAAGATTTTCTTTCTATATTAATAATTTTTTTTTATGAATTTTTTCATGAGGGGTTAAAATCCCCTTTTTTTAACATTGGCCATTTGCGATGAGTAATGCAGACATGCCTACCCCTGGCAACCAAAAGTAGGAACAGTCAAACAGAAAAAGAGGAATTTGAAGCCAAAAAGAGGAACATAATTTTTTAAATCCACGGTTGCTTAACCAATAATAATCTTAAATTAACTATTATAACTATGGCTGTCCCTTTCGATCTCCCACACTGAAATTGTTTAGCAAATTTATCTTCTTTGAACATTAGTTTAAAAGCTTTAGAAAATTTATCTAATGAAGCAAGTGGCAAATTCATTTCAGTAACTAGATTTAGATCAACTAGCATAACTTCAGCTTTTATAACATCATTGATCGATTTTTTTAGGCTTAGTCGAAGTAAAAAACAATTCAACTTTTTTTTATTCTTTGACTAGCTTAGCTAGCTCCACGTGGTTTGCACTTGCATTGTGCTTGGTAATGTCGTTTATTTTAAACTCACAATTACAAATCTCATAATGAGCATTTGTTTCACAATTCTTTCCTTTTTTGACAAAAGGAAATTTTTCCGAATATTCCGTTCTGAAGCACTGAACACGTTTTTTTGACGTTGAAGGGGATTCCCCGATCACAGATACTGAACGTTTCGGCATTTTTCAACAAGGAAACGGAAGTAAACAGGGAACGCCGTTCACTTCCGTTTCCTAGTTTTCTGGGGGGAAATTCGCATTTTTGCTGATAATTTTCTTTTTCCTTTTAACTTTTTTGATTATTTTCGAAAAGAATTCGGAACAAAACGAGTCCAAGTCGGAACGACGGAACAAATTACTTTTGAGGGTAAAAAAGCGGAACGGTTCCGCTTTTGGCGGGACGGTAGGCATGTCTGGTAATGGTATATCTGTATATGCCTAAATGAGCATATTCATTTTACTTGCTGTTGTATTGTGTACATATTTGCAGAGTTTAGCTAGAATGATGTATAGAACTTGTATATGTTGTTGAATTGAATAAAAATAATAGAGAACGGATGCTCTTTCTTTGTTGTCTTTCTTGATTACTCCTAAAAAACTGCTTGCTGCACTAATATAAACGCTTCTAAAGCAATGCTTTATATAAATACATTAATAAAACAATTACACTGTCAGAAAACTAAAGTAAACCACTTGAGCACTGTAATGTGCATAAAACTGCCTGTTTATTTTGGGCAGGTGAAGTAGAATCTATCTTTATGCCATTTTGTTATATGTAAACTAAAGTTACCAGATCATAGTTATTTGTGTGTGTTTGATTGTGATTTTTAGCATGTAACTACAAATTATAAAAATCAATAAAAATAAAACAGAGGTCATCAGAATCAATAACAGCCAGGACCTGCCCATACAGCTAAATGGAGAAACAAACACATTCACATATCTGGGAAGCATGATCAATAAGGACGGGGGAGTAGACGAGGACATAAAATGTTGTATCAACAAGGCTAGATATGCCTTCAACTCACTGCGCCCCATGTGGAGGTCCACGGCCCTGTCACTCCGGAGCAAAATTGGTATTTTCAACTCAAATGTCAAGGCAGTGCTGCTCTATGGCTCGGAGACTTGGAGGGTCACGAAGACAAAAACTGATAAGCTACAGGCATTCGTAAACAAATGCTTACGACATATACTTAAAATAAGATGGCCAGACAAAATATCAAACAAAGACCTGTGGCGAACTTTAAAGCAACGGCCAATAGAGACAGATGTCAAGGCCCGAAAATGGGGATGGATCGGACACACATTAAGAAAGGAAAAAGAAAACATCGCAAGACATGCTTTAGACTGGAATCCCCAGGGAAAAAGGAGGGTGGGGCCGGCCAAGGAAGACATAGAGAAGAACGGTTGAAGAAGAGGCGAAAGCAGCTGGGCACACATGCGCACAGATAAATTAAAATAGTTCTTTGAAGTTGAAGTAATAACTTGCTGATAATGTGTTTTAAATCTTAACTAAGGGCTACAAGGCACTCTTCTTTGTGTTTTGGGCTTTAGTACTTTAAGGCATTTTTTTATGTTAACCTTTTATGTTAACATATAGATCTAGCTATTGGGATATGGCAATTATGACTAGTCTTTATTTTGGTAGTCTTATAGACAGTTTAAAAAAAAATTATAAAGCATTTTCTTATAAAGTATAAAGTAACCTACAAAAACATCAGCCTATTGAAGTATGAATAAAAATAAAGTTACAAAATTGTAAACATTCATTCATAGATAAAACCAACACAAAAGAAGTTAATCAGTGCGTTCAACACAACAGATCTATTACAAGATGAATTATAAGCCTGCAGTATAGCCGGACAAATGGGTCAGCGTGACCTACTACATATTAGTGACAAATTTCTAGAGCACATAGCTCAAGATTTAAGAAACAAATCCAAAAATGAACATCATTATTATGTACACAAGATCTATCAAATCTGGATCTTACTTTCATCTAAAAGATACCTTTTAAAAATCAAGATGCCATCGTATTTGAAATTAGCCTTTTTTTTGGTATAGGCCCAAATGATCACAAGAGGGCCTAAGCCACATAGTAAAGCTATGAAAATAAGAAACCATTCTACTTTTTAACGAATAGGTAGAAATGACATTTTAAACTTATTTAACTACCATAAATTAATAACTTCTAGATCTAAATATGCAAAAAAAACTCACATGAGCCCAGTATCAGAAAGTAATGGAAGTTTTTGGGTCATGTTTTTACCACAAACTCAGCCCTGATACCAACAACAACCCTACAATCTACAACCGAAGTGTCTATTCACAGCCGGCTGTGAATAGCCGTATTGGGGCTATTCACAGTCGTGACCGTTTTTGATAGATTTAATGTTAAAAATATCAAATTGGGTAAGAAGATGTGTGGTCGAGTGGTCATAGGGTTAGGCTATCATGCCAGAAGGTGGGGGTTCAAATCCATCAGATGCCATTTGGTCTGACCCTTAATGAATGCCTCATATTGTTATTATCAAAATATTTTTTTTACAATTAGGTCTAGATTCTACTTGAGTTACTCATGGGAGGGTTATTTTTGTTAATTTTTTTTTTTTGTTTGTGACGTAATTGTTGGCATATCAGCAAAAAAAAAAAAGACCTGTCCCGTAGATTTTTGCTAAGAGAAAAAACAAAAGTGTGATGGAAACTGAATAATAGCTGATGAAAAAGGACATCCTATTTCACCTGATATTTATTCTAGATCTAGATTCTATGTGATAATGTGAATTTTTAATGGTAATTGATAGTTGAATAGCAATGTGAACAACCAAATAAACTGATGCTTAATTAGTATTATTCATTTAAAAATTACTAGATCTATTATTCTAGTGTATAGATTTAAAGTGTAAAATTGATCATCTAATCATCCTTGACCTACGTAGCCTGTAGCAGATATGTATGATATGAGCCTAAATAAAAGTTAAACTAAATTTTAACGGTAATAACTTTTTTATAAAGATATAACAAAATAAAAATAACACTGCTCTCTTAATCTATACCTCATTCCCCAGTCACAATAAATGCTTATATTATTTTAAGATATTATTCAGTCGTATTTAGTATGAAATGACAGCCGACTGTGAATAGCCGTATTGGGGCTATTCACAGTCGGCTGGGAATAGCCCCAATACGGCTATTCCCAACCGGCTGGGAATAGCCATGGCCATCTACAACTTAGATCTACTCTAGCGGTCACAATTGGAGTCTTGAATTAGTATTAGATCTAGGCCCGTAGATTAGGATCTAGAGAATTCTATATCTGTAATCTATTATTTAACTTACTAAGCCTAAGCTACTGGGCTAGAGCTAAAGTAGATCTTTTCTAGGGGGTGATTGGGTGAGTCAGTGACTGACTAGTCTAGTCAAAGGAATGAAACATTTGTGATCAAGCAAGTGGTAAGATTCTTGCTTATAGAAATCTCAGTTTATCTCTATATTAATGCGCTAAACTGATAGGTGACTACATACATGTATTTTTCTTGGAGTGTGTATGGAGGGGGGGGGGATTGTTAGGTACTTACAATCTAAATGCTTTTTCTTCGGTCCGATGACCTCCTCTGTTGTTGCTTTGCAAACAGATTTAGCCAGACCCTGACCAGCAATGCTATGCCTAGCAGCAACCACACGATCCATAATGCTTTGACCCGCCATTTTACTCATTAGAATAAAAGAGATTACACAATAATATTCAATAAAGGGCCAGAAATAATGACCCTACCACCTTGACAGTCCACCGCCTGACACCTTGCAGACCGCAGGAAGGGGGGTGGTAATTAGTCTAGCTAAACAAGATGGCCGCCCTGTTAGAAAAAAGCATGTCACGTGACTTGGGAGTATTCATAAAGAAGAATTAAAAATGTTTGGACATTTTAGTTTAGGCCTAGTTTTACTTTTTTTTAGGCCTCAGGTCTAACACTGCTAGTCTGACATTAGATCTACGCCATTACAGCCGATAATTACAAAAAAAAATATACTCTTAACAATTAGAAACTTTTATTTTAAATGCACCAATTTTAGTTTCTATGTTTTTAGAAAAACTAAAATAGTAAGTCGATATGTAAGTCGTAGACCTATTAGTATTAATATAGGGCCTAAACTAATTTATATTTTTCATTCCGTTCGTTTTTAATTAAGTCAGAACCAAATATTAATAACAGAAATGTTGTTTTACAAATCGATCATTAGCTTGCTATTTCAATTCTAAAATTCAATTATCTGTCCCCTGTACACGTCCATATTCAGCCCTCAGACGCCTAAATACGTTTAACAAAACAAAAGCCTGTAGGCCGAGCGAACATTAATACTTAAACATGTTATCTCCCCTTTAATAATTGACTATTGTAATATTTTAATTAATTTTGTAATGTCTAATTTAATATATAAACAGACTTTAAAAATTATTATGTTGCCAAGTGGCATAGGCAGGTATTTGGAGATCATTGGAGGGGGGGAGGGGTTCAGAAAAATATATCTACTCACACACACACAAATATATATAGGGCCTATACAATAATAAAATATGTTAATAATCCTAAAAACACATATATAGGGTACATGTCTATATATATCTATATATGTATCGCCCCCAAACTGTATCTATATCACCTCAATCATCTATATCATCTATATCACCTATGGGGTCATCCATAAATGAGGTATTTGGAGATCATTGGAGGGGGGGAGGGGTTCAGAAAAATATATCTACTCACACACACACACAAATATATATAGGGCCTATACAATAATAAAATATGTTAATAATCCTAAAAACACATATATAGGGTACATGTCTATATATATCTATATATGTATCGCCCCCAAACTGTATCTATATCACCTCAATCATCTATATCATCTATATCATCTATGGGGTCATCCATAAATGACGTCACACTTTTTTTGACGATTTTTACCTCCCCTCCCCTCAGTCACACGTCGTCACAAAAAGCCAGACACCCCCCTAAAATGACGTCACACCTCAGCCTCCAACCCCCCCCCCCCCCCCCCCTCAAAATTGATGTTGAATTTTTCTTAAAACATCGATATTTTTCCAGAATCGTGTCAGAACTCTGTCAACGTAGAGCTGAGTATTTTGATCAATTCCTATTACAATTTATTAAAACCATTTTCTAAAACGCTAAATAACGGCTAAAATTCGTTTTCTAACACTGCTTTTTTATAATGTAAAAAAGTAACGTAACACCATCTCAACCCCCCCCCCCCTACCCACACACCGTCACAATATTACGGACCCCCCCCCCTCCTCCCCTACGAGTGTGACGTCATTTATGGACGACCTCATATCATCTATATTATCTATATCATCTACATCATCTACATCATCTATATAATCTATATAATCTATAATTTATATAATCTCTGTACCTGCACCTGTCGTTAAAATATATCAAAAGGTCTAGTTTCCCCTGCACTTCCAAGAACAACTTGGTATCATCTTTCAATTCAAAAACACGATTCACAACATTTACTTTTGACAGCCAGCGTACTGTAGTGTAGAACCTCATGATCTTTATTCATGTCTTTGCACAGTTCTTTAAACAGACGGGTGTTTAGGGCTCCAGATTTAATTTAATTAACGACTTTTATAAGCAATGGAGTCGGAAGAGTCTTGCTAGCAAGGAAATACCGGTGAATCATGCAGTGGATTCCCCTCGGTTAGGGAGCAAAATCTTTTACTTTTTTTTTCTGAAAACCCGATTTTTAGCCAAACATCAAACATAGATAGCGCACCGTCCGTACAAACCCGACAGCCGTTTGTTTTTCCAATTGCATTTTAATCATCCAGATTTTTTTTAAAAAAACCTATTTATTTTCTCTATGATATCTTCACAAAATAGCAACTCTTCTTTGCTATCATCTGAACGACTTCATATGATGCTTGCACTAATGATGCGTTTCCTTGGTGAAAACTTCCTATTCGATCAAGTCGTGCGGCGTCAATTCGGCCAATGACGAAACGGCCCCGTCAAAACGACCCCGACAAAACGACCCCGTCAAAACGACCCCGTCAAATCGGCCCCGTCAAAAGGGCCAGCGACATATGGACCCCGTCATATAGGCTCCCGACAAATAGGCTCCCGTCATTTAGGCTACCGACAAATAGGCTCCCGTTATATAGGCTCCCGACAAAAGGGCTCCAGTCAATAAGGCTCCTGACAAATAGGCTCCCGTCATTTTGGCTCCCGACATATAGTCTCCCGTCATTTAGTTTTTTCCACAAAACGGCCCCCGTCATTGCGACTCCCGACAAATAGGCTCCCGCCATTTAGTTTCTCCACAAAACGGCCCCCGTCATTACGACTCCTGACAAATAGGCTAGCGTCATTTTGGCTCCCGACAAAAAGGCTCCTGTCAATTTGGCTCCAGACAAAAGTACCACTGACACAGTGGGGTAGCTACCGTAAAGCTAGCGTAAGCAAGGCATGGGGGCCCAAGGCACATAGGGGCCCTTTTCCCTCATAAAAAATTAAAACTTTTACAATGGAATTTTAATATTTGTTACATATAAATAATTTTAAAAAAGAAAAAGGTTAAAAGTTCCAAAAAGCCCCCCCCCCCCCCACCGTTTCGGCAGTGGGATTCAGTGTTTGTGGGTCAAACAGAGCCCAATCGTTATAATAACACTACAGGCTATATCACTTTGTCGTGCAAGACATTGAGAGAATCAGCCTATAAATAAACTTTTTAGCTGTAGTAGGCAAGCATAATAATATAGTATAAATACAAAATCAGGACATATAAAATACAAAATGTTGCCTTCAGAATATTTATATATTAAAAAATATCCATCGTAAGTAGAAGTTGATCTCTTCGTTTAACTCCTCTGTAGCCTAACGCAGAGGCGTAGCGAAGGCGAGGCGGGGGGTGCGGACCGCAACGGGTGACACCATTTAGGGGGGTGACACCAAAGGCAAAAAATTGTAAAATTTATAGAATGAAATGCCATTTTCCAGATCCATTAGTTAAAGTTAAATAGTCTTCTAAGTACAAATCGAAAATTATATCAAGAGGGGGGGGGGGGGGGGGGGTGTGACACCACGACGTAAACGTAAACTATAAAGAAAACAATGCTACATCCAACTGTATTATAAACAGACTGTAGATAAACATCGTTACTATTAAGTCAGCAGTGATTAAAGCTTAAACACGTACGTGTACCAGTATGTGGCATATATATACATTTTAGGCCTATGTAGGCCGACACACACACACACATACACACACACACACACACACATATATATATATATATATATATATATATATATATATATATATATATATATATATATATGTATATATATATATATATATATATATATATATATATATATATATATATATATATATATATATATATATATATATATATATATATATATATATATATATATATATATATATATATATATATATGCTTTGTTTCCTGGGAGGGGGTGACAATACGAAGTGCCGCACCGGGTGACACCCGACCTAGCGACGCCACTGGCCTAACGGCTGACGAAGGGGCCCACTGATGATTTTTGCATAGGGGCCCAAAAATCCTAGCTACGCCACTGCACTGACAATACCGTTTCTGTAGAGACTAAGTCTCCCGGCAAAGCGGTCTCATTGAATATGACATCTGCCAGTGGGACCCCTTCATCAATATTCTTTAGAGTTAGCTTATCCAACCCTCTTATGTAATACAACGTATGCATCTCTTGTTCGGCAGGCCTTATTTTTATATTAGTTTATCTATTATAAAATATAGTATGTTTTAATTTAAGGGTCATCTATCTATGACATCCATAACTGAGTCGGTTATAGGCTGTTCCAACTCATTGTGTGGGGAGTAGGGTCCACGCTGTACCTTCCTAACTGCAATATGCTTGTACAGGGGCGTAGCGAGGGGGGGGGGGGTGCGGACCGCACCGGGTGAAACCATTTAGGGGGGTGACACCAAGGCAAAAAATAGCAAAATATATAGAGAAAAAGTTGAGGGGGTGGGGGTGCAAATCGAAAGTTTGGGGGGGGGGGGGTGCAAATCGAAAACTTGAAAGTTTGTCCCCGGGGGTGACACCCGACCTCGCTACGCCACTGTGCTTGTAGGTTATCAAAACAAAATGCTGTTATCATGTTAACATCATGTATATCATACATTTACACTTCTGTGCTCGCTTTTAAGCAACATATCTTTTCTGTTGTAAATTAAACATTATCAAAACTTTAGAATTGGTGGAATTTAGCTGTTAAGGGCTCGATTTGTTTGTGAATTAATGTTGGTTCATGAAAAGATAATTTCATTCGGGCATTAAAAAGAGGATATGGTGGTTTTGGAGGTAGGACACAATGGTTACTTTTATGCCAATAGTGGTCATATCATTCATTTTTCTGGAGCCAATATGTCGGGAGTCATTTTGTCAAAAGCCAATATGTCGGGAGCCCAATTGCCGGGAGCCAATATGTCGGGAGCCCATTTGTCGGTAGCCAAAATGTCGTGAGCCCATTTGCCGGGAGCCCATTTGTCGGGAGCCGCTTTGTCGGGAGCCAATATGTCCTGAGCCTATTTGTCAGGGGTTAATATGTCGGGAGTCCATTTGTCGGGAGCCTAAATATCGGGAGCCCATTTGTCGGGAGCCTATATGTCGCAAGTCAATATGACGGGAGCCCATTTGACGGGAGCCAATAAGTCGGGGCCCTTTTGACGGGGCTATTTTGACGGGGTCGGTTTGTCGGGAGTCGATTTGACGGGGTCGTATTAACGGGGTCGTTTTGACGGGGCCGATTTGTCCCGGGCCGTTTTGACAGGGCACCTGTGGCACACATGTTAGCGGCGCTATAGTCTTCTTCTAAGATGCGCGCTAAACAGACAATTCCCGGTCAAGAAAGATACAGAACTGTTGCATAGCCAAATAAAGATTTACAGAGGAATTATTCTTCATTTTCAATCATATGTGACTGGGAGTAAGAAAATATAGAAAAAAAAAACGTGCGTGCGTATTAGTAAAAAATGATATAAAAATATTCACATGATTAAACACATACTTACGCATACATATCACACACACAATATATATATATATATATATATATATATATATATATATATATATATATATATATATATATATATATATATATGTTACGGTCAAAGCCCGAAGTCGGCAAATGCTAGGATTGGCCGGCCAATCCGCGCATTGGCCAATATCGCCTCCCATAGGTCGGTCAAAGTCCGAAACATTGCTTGATTTCGGCCTTTGGCCGGCCAATCCGCAGACTGGCCATGGTGGACCGGCCAAAGTCTTAATTAGAAGATCATGAGCAGATTTTGGTTTTTTTTTATGCCGTAAGGATCATGAAATTAAGTCTTTATTGATTATTAATTAAAGTAATTCAAATTTTTTATTGTACTATAGTCTCAATCTATTAATATCATCATTTGTTACAACAAGTTGAACTTTTATGGCATTTAGAATTACATAGCAGCCTGTTATTTTTACACTTGCAGCGATTTGTTGTGCACTTAGTTGTGCAATTGCAACGAGTGTAGCCTTGGCCCCCAGTCAATGATTGTAAAGATGCGATGGTTCGTAGTGATTTTTATCAGTGCCAACTGACGACAATAAGAGCAGTTTTTCGTGAAGAATTGAAAACTCACTTCTAGCATACAGTTGTTTTAGAACACCATGTTCCGTTCCTTATTTATAGAAACCGTCCTCGACGCTAATGACAACTGCAATCACGCTTCGGGGATCACCGTGACCTCTGTCAACATCTGGAAAACGGATGCGTACATTGTCACCCACTTCACCATCTTTAAATTTTGTATTTGATGTTTTAAGCATCTTAGAACCTTGAGTTTGCAAGCCAGTATGAGCTGCTGATCTGTGTTCCATGATATCTTGTTTGTTGTGACACAATCTGCAGGTAATGTTCCCTCCGTGCCCTTCGTCTGCTTCATTGGGTATTCCACAAATAGCATGGACATCGTTGCCACAGGATCCAAAAGAATGAGCTGCACTGCAATGTTTTTCACAAACTATATAGTATCTGTTGGCCACATTATTGTCACGCAACTGGTCTGGACGTTCCGCCACGGCAGCAGATGTGTTAGCTGGGGATGTCACCGTCTGGTGAGCTGTGGTTCACGCTAAATGTTTACAATCGTAGAGCCGGGTTTAGTGACGGCTATTAGGGGCAGATAAGTTAGTTTGAAACGATTTTAAACTTAGGGGAGGTAACAAAGAGGAGGCCGCTTTCACCGGGGGGGGGGGGGGGGGGGGTAAGGAGAAAAGAGAGAGAGGGGGGGGTATCGTCCTTAACGTGCTACTGATAGTGTTTTAAAGCAAATATTTTCAGTGTCAGCATTGGTACTGTCGAATTCACAAATTATGAATTACTAAAAAGTAGAAAATAAAACAACCAAATAGCAGCGTATGATACGCAGCGGGTCTGTTCTTATATAATATTCTCTTCATGGAGACCATAGAAAACACCACGCAGCTTAGCCACCACCCTCATCCCCACCTGCCAGGTGATTTATGAATTGCTGATAAGCTGAAAAATAAAAAAAACTAGATGGCCGCGTATACTACGTTGCGGGTCAGCTCGTATAGAATAAATATATTCACACATATAGTCACATATTTAAATAACAGTAAAAAAAAAACAAGACAGAAGTAGTTTCGTATTTTACTCGGATACTGAAATTTGACAATATGCACACATTTTACGGGGAGTTAATATCTAGAGATTCAAGGATTATATTGGCAGTTTTTTTTACCATGGTATGCCATTATTTTAAAAAATGTTTTGGCCATAACTATAAAATTATAGAAAAAAATCATTACATTTCCACCACCAACTTGTAAAAAATAAAATACTTTTTGTGTGTTTTGATCAGGGTTACAACTAACATAAATAAAAATAATGAGATCATTCCATAAAGCACACTACAACAGTGTTGTTGTTGGTAATGGTCAAAAGAAGATAGATTTTTAGCTAGTGTATCCTCATACTCAATTACATGATTAAAATGAGTTAAATTACCGAACTGGTAGATTAAACTTTTATCAATGGTGTAATCTACTAACGCTTATACACAGGACAGATTCACATTACAATAATAAGCATTAGATTATTTTACACAATTATTAGGTGATGGTTAGTTAGTCTTCTTAAAAAGTAATACAAAATCATTGATTATAATTATTACAATATAGTTTGAAAAGTAAAATATTTATGAAATATTCAGATATTTCCTCAAAATATTCTGCACAAACTAATTTATTAAAATTTTTGTTAAATCTTCTAACATAATTAAAATTGAGCATTTAACATACTGAAATCTATGTTCCTTAATTGTGCAAATAAAAGAAATGTAAAAAAAAATAACCACAAAATTGTGATCTTTAATGAATATTTGATCTTTGTTTATTAATCTTTAAAATGAAATATTTATAATAAAAAGTACTACAATTGTAAGTTAAACATTAAAATGTATTTGGTAAATATGAAATCAACTGAACAAATGAAAGCCTAAGTATAGTCGTTCCTAGTGATCATAAATTGTCAATAGCATTTTTTTTTACATATATAATCTCTTTTAAAACAAGTTTTTATCATCTAACAAAAACTTGAATAACCATAATGTACATATACAAGTTAATAACAGTACACATTTTACATTCAACACCACTTTAGAAGAATCACAGAAAAATATGACCTTATATACACAAATTATACTGAGCTTATTCCAGAATTATAAGAATAGGCATTGCAATTAACTTAATTAAAATATAGCCTGATATGAAGTTTAAACAAATATAAAACAGTAGTTTGTCTTGGTCTAATCAGTATAACATTGTCATGTTTTGTAGAAGGAAATCAAGTGATGTGCCTTTCTTTGTTATATATTAAACTCAGTAGTTAATATACTGACATAACTCAAATTTAAAAGCTGCCAGTTAATATCTTGTGGCATGAAAGTTGTGGGGAAAAAAGGATTTAACTAATCTACATATCTACATTTATATTTATCTAATCTTACAATTTAGTAAAGATAAAAACAGTAAATTTGTAAAAATATTGTGGAGATAATTCATACCAAGCGTTTTTTTTTCCAAAAGCGCAGATATTTAAAGAAAATAATATAATATGTTATAAAATGAATTTATTCTAGTTAATCTAGAAATTATTTTTTTAAATTAACAATTCTATAAAATATTGAAAAAAGTAATTGTGGACAAGGAGGTCAATATAAAAAATAAACGTAATGAAACAAACTGTGATTGTCTAAATTCTCAATTCAGAACATTATATAAGATCAAAAATTGTATTTGTGTCTAAGGGCAGACTTATGAGGTAGAGTGTGCAGCAGCCACTGGGTTTATCAAGGACCCAGTATTGTGTTTGTGTGATGTTAATGTGCCACCCAGCTCCAACAAATACCCACCCTGACATGGCACTAGAATATGGTGGCTGGGAATTGAGGACGATGTTATCCCTTAATATGGGAAAGCAAAAAAACAAAACAGGCAAACTATTTATCTGCTTCTTATGATATCTGTACTAAATCATTATTTTTACTTTCTCTACAGGCTTCATTTACAAAAAAACTTATCATAATAATGAGAATGACAGCAATGACTAAAAGTGACATATCTTGACACTAAAGTGGCAGCTTGATTAAAACAAAAACAAACATTTATGTATAATAATGATAATCTCTCTGTATTGATTTCAATTTCTCATCAAAAATATATTTTAAGAAAATGATCAGCCCAAATATCAAATGAAAAAATACTCAATTATTTTGGTAATTTATAATTATAAGTGTAAAATACTCCATTTAGTTAGGTAACTCATTAGTGATACACACAATTTATACATATGTTTAAAACCTTATTTTTAAAATTTAGCATAAAAACAATGACACTGAACATACAAATTCAAATGCCTTGACTTGTTTACAGGCAAACATATCAAGAACGCACACAAAAATTGTATGTAGATTACACACATTTTTATCATTTAGTATCCTCTGCAGCATCTACAGCTACTACATTTTAGTTTAATAAAATGTACTGTCAATACTTTTTGAGTAAATCTACTTTCTACAAAAACAGATATTGGGAAATGTGCCTAGCAAATATTTAAAAAACAAAATCACTGTACTTTATATTCAATTAGGCATCAGGCCAATCCCATGTCTCAGGTTCAAAGCATTCATAGTCGGTGTCATACAAGAAAGAGCGGATATAAGCTTCTTTGTCTGCAGGTTCAGGATAAGCTGAAGCCATGTTGTTGGCATAGACATACTCAGCCAGGCCAGTGGCAATTTTCAAAGAAACATCCTGGATTAGGCTTAGTGGTGGATACAGGCGACCTTCTGCAAGATTCTCGTCTGTTACCAGGTCAGCTAATTTCTAGATTAACAGAAGAAATTAGTATTGCAATTAGAATAGAACTACTCGTTTCAATTGACATTCATGAATGTGTTACTGGTTAGTAAAAAAAGACATTCTAGCAACTTAAAAAACCTAAATCATCTGTTTGGTAAAAAAAATAATTAAAAAAGCTGGTTTAAATCAATGTTCCTATAATGTCCCTTTTTTAACTTACTTGAGCTGCCCTTAGAAAGATCATATCTGAGATGTGTCTTACACCACAGGTCACAACTCCAAGTGCAACTCCTGGAAAGATGTAGGAATTGTTGCCTTGGCCAGGATAGAATGTCTGTCCATTTAGGGTAAACTTGGGGAAAGGGCTGCCACTAGCAAAGACTGCACGACCCTGAAATGAGATTTAAAAAGATAAATACAGAAGCCGCTCCTCTAGCACTTAAATCTATAAACAAAAAATATTTGCATGGAGCTTAAAATTTAGATGTACAAAATTTCAACAAACCTCAGTAACTGTATATGCTTGCTCAGCAGTGCACTCAGACATACTGGTTGGATTGCTTAGGGCAAAAATAACTGGTCTTTTGTTATATTTGCTCATTAAACGAAGAACATTTTCATTAAACGCTCCAGGTGATGCAGCAGCACCTAAAAAATGTATATAAATGTATATATATATGCCTCTTTTGTTTAAATTATTTTCAACAAATACAAGCCCTCAAATCTAGATGGTTGGAGTAAAACAGATGATTATGTAAACTTGGCTTTACTACACATAAATAAAAAAAAATTAAAGTAATATACCGATCAGAACTGTTGGTTTCAAATCTTCCACAATGTCTTCCAGTTTAGTCATGGGCTTGTAATCCTTGACAAAGTCTTTTTTTGGACCACTTATTGGTCCCCCTGCACGTGTCTATAGAGACATTGAAAAATGTACAGCTTAAAACATTTTAAAAAATCGATCAATCTTTTTAAAAATTTTATTTCTGGATTAATTAATTTATTTGAATTAACTTCTAATTACACTGAGAAAAATATCAAGTATACTAACACTAGTGATGAGGCCTTTAGAATCAATAAGCCAAATTTTACTTCTGGCTTCTTCAATTGATATGCCTTTCTCAGTCATAGCTAAGGCTAAGAGATTAGCTATTCCAATTGAAGCCTGTAAATTAAAAAATTCAATTAAAGGAGCAAAGACTACAAACACAAAATAAGCCTTTACAAAGGAAACAGAGAAAAACTATTGGCTCTGTTTTAGATCAACAGAAATTACACCTACAGTAACATTATTGCTTTATGTATTTAAATGATTTCCACATAATTAAACAATTAGCTTTTACATACTTCACCAGCTCCAAGGAAAACAAATTTGTTGTCAGTTAACTGTTTCCCTGTAATTCTGAGACTTGCAAACACACCAGCCGCAGCTACAGCCGCCGTACCTGTATTACAATATAGAAAATGTTTTGAAAACGTCTAATTGTTTTATTAATTTAGCCTCCATAATTGTTTTTATTTTAACAGCAGGCGTATATCATAAATAATTGTTATTTATCATTTATTAAGATAGTTATGCAGAAAAAAAGATTATTAACTTATCTTTTGAAGATGTATAGGCCTACACATAAAAGACTAACATGTTTAAGAAAACTCAAACTATAATTACCTTGAATATCATCATTGAAGGTACAATACTTATTTCTATATTTCTCTAAAAAGCGGAATGCATTATGATTGCCAAAATCTTCAAACTGAATCAGGCAATTATATCCATACCTGAAATTTAAAGTATATAAATGTCATGATTAAATAAATAAAATATCCAATTAGTTAATTGAAAGTAACTGTAAATAAACATGAACATGCAGTAGGTCAAAACTTCTGCTTTCTAAAAAGTTAAGCCACTTCTACCCAGCTTTTTTTTCATTATTTGTTTTTTAAATTTGCTTTATTCAATATCATTTTACGCCAACTGTCTTAATGTAATTTTTAAAATATGAGTAATAATACACCCAATCTCTTTATCAAAAGATGTTGAAATAACATCTTTCTCTGCCTCTTTTCAAATGGGAACTTTCAGTAATTAGTTTACATTTTAGTTTGTAATATTTTTCTTTTTTCCTATTTAAAAGCATGTTATTACAGTTGTACCTCTTTGCAACAGCTTTCATGAATTCATCAATGAACTCATCATATTCAGGACCTTTAACTCTTGGCTGAGCTCTACCAATGTACAGAGGATCCTCATGAAGTTTCTATTTTTAAAAAATGAATTATTTGTAAATGTAGAACTCTGTTCAGTAAGATTTATGTTATTGTCATCTTCAGTATCCAAATTATGTTTGGTCCTCTTTAAGTTTACTTTGAATCAAGACAATATAAAATAATTTTTTTAAATGTATACCTTATTATTTGTTCCAACATCTAGGAGAATAGGAAGACACTTTGAAGGATGAATACCCCCTAAAGCAGTGTAAAGGGAGAGCTTTCCAACTGGGATCCCCATACCATAAGCCCCCAAGTCTCCCAGTCCAAGAATTCTTTCACCATCAGTAACTACAATGGCCTGGAATAAAACAAAAATGCAAACTGTTTTTTATCAGCAAAGGCATTATTTTGTTTTAAATTTTATGGCTGTGGAGTTAGAAGAACTTTAAAAAAAAATTTTTATTACTAATTATGTCTGTTATAGTTTGTCAACAAAAATTAACTTCTATGAGGCAAAACAGACTGCTAAGGATACTACTTTTGAAATATCTTTTTAACAGGACACTTAAATAAAACATTGTACATGCCAATTTTATTATGTATGTTTTTACCCATGTTTTTACCCATGCTGGTTTGTTCTAGTAAAATTATTTCTAAAAAAAAATTGTACTTTAAACAGATGCTTTAGCTAAAGATGTTCACTACATTAACTCAACACAATTCATAATATACCAAAACAATTTACAAAGTGTTTGTCCATTTCTTAATATTTTTAGCTACTTCAGTGTTGAAAAAAGGGGGATAACTGTCAAAACTAAAAGGTGATGTCTTAAAATAATTAATTATAAATAAACATACCTATTTTTAAAAAAACTAAAATGAAACAGGAGCACAAAAGTATTACTTTAAAAATTGATATTGTTGGTAATACACAACATAAAAAGTAAAGGCTCATTATGCTTCTTTTAAAAAATACAATACGTTTTTTTAAACTGGGAAAAAACATTTGCTGAAATAAAGCTCTATAAATAGTATTGCCAGTGTTCTCTTGGATAAATGTTTCAAAAGTATTAAAAAAGTAATTGAAAAACATTGCATTTAGAAACTAAACAAACAAAACTGATTGAGAAGTAAAACAAGTAGGCCTGTAAGATAGCCAAAGAAAACCAATTACCTTCACATTTCTTTCTGGCCAGTTACACAGAATTTCATAAATGTGCCCTTTGTCTTTTATTGAAATAAACAAACCTCTGAATAAAGTTCAAAACAGTTATTAAAAATATGTTAACTTTTACTACACTGAAATTATCAAAATTTATCAAATAAATATTAACATACCTAGGTCTTCGAAAAACAACACCATATTGTTGGCAGGCCAGCCCCACAGTTGGTGTGTAAACTATTGGCATCATCTCTTCCACATTGTTACAAAGTACCTAAATAAGAAACTATCAATAATCAAACATATATAACTAAACAGATTAGTTCATGTTCTTTAAAGATCACCTCTTACCCTCTGATAAGAAAAAGAACAAAAGAAAATTACCTTGTAGAAAAGTTTTTCATTACGATCCTGTAAAGCCATGAGGTAGATAAACCTATCCAAGTCACTACTTCTCTTTGAGAAATTAGTGAGGACACGAATCATCTGTTCATCCATGGTACGAACACACGGTGGGACTAAACCATGAATACCCATCAGCTGTCTTTCTTTCAATGTAAAAGCTGTCCCCTTGGTAAGAAATATTTTAAAATCATAATTATGATTTATTCTATAGTGCAATAAAAGAGCAAAATGGGTGTATAAAGTAAAAATTACTTGGAGTTTAAACCAGTAGTGCAAATAATTTGCTAATAAATTATCCTAAGAATAGATCTGTAAATGTAAACCCATCTCTTCTCATATGGTAATTTGAGAAGAAGGCCTTCAGAACAAATTAAGCTCAAACTGAGAACAGAATTAGCTCAGTGCAGAGTGGTTTAAAATACGCAAGGAATTTCATTTCTTTTATTATACAAGACAAATGTACTAAACTTACTTTGTTCAGTTTTGGGTTTCTCAAGATATCAATTCCTCTAACACGAGAATGATTGATAAGTTCTCTCTTTTGATCTTCATGTCCATCATGCGAGTCTTGTGACTTCTGTCTCAGACAAAGTGCTGACAACTGAGGTCTAAATACATAAATTATAATAAGCAACTATTTTCCAAAACAATTTTATACAAAAGTTATAATAATTACAAATATAATAACAAACATAAATCAACAATCGTCATGGAGTAGATGAGCAAAAAAAATAATCTTGAAATAGACCTAGATCTAGTCCTAGATCTAGGTATTCCTTTTTATTTCAGTATCAACACTTTCATCATGTATTGTTAAAAACATTTTTAAAGGAAAATCACACTAGATCTATTTATCCAGCACCTAAAATCTAGATTCTAGGGGGGGGGGGGGGGGGGTGTCTAAAAGGGATGCCTGGAAGAAACACTGCACAACATACATTCATACATCATTAAGCTAATAGTGCCTAGTAGTAGTAGCCACTAGAATACCCGTCATCCGTTGGATAACTGTGGGTTTCGGGGGTCATCCATCAAAAAACATCACGTCTGTCACTCAGAGGCATAGCGAGCCTTCCCGGCGCCCGGGGACAAACTTTTCGATTTTAACCCCCCCCCCCCCAAGATTTCGATTTTCAACCCCCCCCCTCAAACTTTTGATGTGCACCCCCCCCCCCGCTCAAACTTTCGATTTGAACCCCCCTCAACCTTTCAATTTATTTTTCCAAACCATTTTGGCGCCCCAACATATGTCCCCCCGCCCCCCCCCTTCCCCCCTCCACCTCCCCCCGCCTCCCCTTCCCCCCCCCCCCCCCCGCCTCCCCTCCCGCCCCCCCCCCCCTCCTCGCTACGCTACTGCAGTGTCACTTATCGTCACAAAAAACAGACCCCACATTCAAAAATATGTTTCTTATCTTTTAAAAACACCGAAAACACCGATTTCGGACTATCCCTTCATATACTGACGTCACATGTGACCTACTCAACTCTACTTCACCTGCCCAGTGTCCCGCCAAGTCTCAGACAACATGTTTCTATCGTTTAAAAAACGATTCCAGCCGAGCATGTCTCTGACCACACTATCCTTTCATATGCTTAGGACAAAGAAACAGATGGACTCTACTTCACCTGCCCTGTATCCTGGCAAGTTCAGATAGGCAACTTTATCATTCACATCTAAAAATAAAAATTGAAAAAAAATATCATTGACATATTGGTCTAGAACCTGTGCCACCCACATGAGAGCGGGCTACGCTACCAACTTAGCTATTTACTCGTGACGTCACAAATGAATTTTTATACTATACTTTTGAGTCTCCGCGCATAGATCTAGATATTAGGCTAGTAGTAGTAACTTTCAAATTAAATTTAATCTTAAATTAGCCAAACAAAGATTTATATAAAATAAAGAAGTTCAGAAATTAGCTAGATCTAGATAGTTCTATCTAGATCTATATTCTACGACTCGCTTGCTTAGGTCTTAAGTTTAGTTTTTCTTGCTAGATCTAGATCTAATCATTAGCTACGCTGATAGGCCCGGAGCGAGCATTTCAAAATTACCATATTCCAAACAAAGATTTATATAAAATAATAAAGATCTAAAATAGTTTAGTATATAGAAAATCACTATTATCTAAATCTAGATAGAATTATCTATATTTTAGATCTACGACTGAGCTATATTTAGAATTTACGTTTATAATTTAGCAAAATTCCGGTATAGAAGCAGCGTATGAATCTTAAGCTGCGCAAATACGCCCTGGAGCCAGCACTTCAAAATGTGCATAGTCGAAACAAAGATTTATACAAAATAATAAAGGTCTAAAATATTTTAGTATATAGAAACTCATTATTATCTAAATCTAGATAGAATTATCTATATTCTAGATCTACGACTGGTTTGCTTAAGTCTCGTTTCTTTTTTGGTTTGTATTAAGATCTATAACTAATAAATTTTTGATTTGACCTAGATTTAGATTCTAGATCTAGATCTATAAATAAATAACTTTCTTGGACAGATTGTAGATCTAGAGAAATTTATTGTAAAACTAAATGAAAAAAGACAGTTGAAAATTGATATAAGTGTTGGAACGTAATAAATACAGCAAACGGACGTATTGTTAAAGTTATGACCGACAGAAAATTAGATTTGATTTGACCTAGATTCTAGATCTAGTCTAGATCTATAAATAACTTTCCTTCGACAGCTGATCTTTAGATCTAGAGAAATTTATTGTAAAACTAAATGAAAAAAGACAGTTTAAAATTGATATAAGTGTTGGAACGTAATAAATACAGCAAACGGACGTATTGTTTAAGTTATAGCCGGCAGAAAATTAGCTTTGTAACGCGTGAAACTTTTGAATGGGCCACAAAGTCTATGATGGGGTCCGCCATTTTTATTGTACCAAAAATGTAAACACATCAAGGGACGTCACTATCCCCACAAAGTTTATTCAAAGTATTAACATTTTTAAAAAAATACGGTTAATTTAACTATGAATAAATCAATAAATTAATTAACGTCTTTAAATAAATTTGTGATTAACAGTCTGTCTTAAAACAAAAATTTTTCTCTACCTACATACTATTTTACAGCTTTCCACGATGAGCGCAACCATGCGAGATAGTCGATCAGGCAAACAAACAAACAAATAAATATTCAAACATGTAAACAAACTTGACTTTTAGTAGTATATAGATAATCAATCATAATTTGATAAGGCCTAGGCTAATTATTAGTAATTAATAAGTTTAATAAGGCATTCCATTTTAAATTTTATTTATAATAATATTATTAATATTTATTTAGTAATATTTAGGCCCTACTAAATAAATTACAAACCTGAAATACAGAAATAATATTTTAATAGGCGGACTTACATTTTAGAGGTAACATTATTGAGAATTTTTTTAGTAGCTACCGATGATAGATTCAATGCCATCGTTGCCTGAAGCTTATCTTTTGTTGTAGATTTAGTTCTTTTTTTTAACTAAAATTTATTAATCACAGAACAAATAAGCACTGAAGTAGGCCTGGGTAAGCTTACTCAAAGGGCACCGGTCTATGTAGATCAAGAACTTTAGTAGTAGGCGGTATCGACTCTAATTTTCGTTTCGAGAATCGACTATTTACTTCTAGAGAAAACCCTCCGATAATTATCTATGCATCATCCAATATCTATGGATTTGACTCTATAAATAAATAAACCTAAAGCAATCATATTTTATGGTAATGAATTTAATTAAGTATACAATAACTAGCTAGTGGACCCGTCTTATGAGCGAGTGGAAAACAAGTCATCGCTTGTTAAATATAGTGATTAATACACAGAGATTTTCTCAATTTCTCAATTTCTACGTTTCTTACAGGTCGGTGTAGCTTTTTCACTGCATTGTTGAGTTGGTAATACATTTTGTGTTATTATGTAGGTGAACTACTTTAGAATTTATTGGTTTACTACATTGATAGAACATTGGCTCTTAATCTGGGTTCGATCGAACTACAGAGGTTCAGTAAGTCAGCCTCAGTTCGGCGGAGGTCAAGACATACACCCGACTCATATGATTCACGAACTGATTTTGTCAGTGCAGAAGACAGGATTATTAAGAAGGGTTCGGTAAATTCGAAAATAAACTGATGGGGTTCTGTACCTCCACTAGTTTGCTATCAGAATAAAATTAATAGAATATTAATTAGCTTGTACCACAATTCAGTTTCATGTTGGGATTTTAAAAAATTAAAATATATGCGACTGTATACTAAGCGTATTAGGCTTAGATGTAGATCTAAACTCTATAATTATTATAAATCATTTGGCATTGAAACAGTATCGATATTATTTGGGATCGAAACTAAAGTAACCGTATAACCCACACTTTATTTCGTCCCTGATCTGTCCTTGAACTTTCTTTTTGTTGACACTGTTGAGTGTTGTTTTAGTTTGGGAAGCATTGCACTTTTTTTATTAGGTCAATTCTAGATTTACGTATTTAGAAGCTAATGCTTTTCGTTACAAACTTTTCGTCTAGGCAAGATAAATTGTAGGGGGTAAAAACAAGAATAAAATGAAAAGTATCAATATTAATTACATGCCTGTTTCAATGTATGGCCTTTTTTATTTTACGATTAACAATATTAAAAATATAATGTTTTAATTCGGCATAAGAACAACTGCCCGGCTAGCTCAGTCGGTAGAGCATGAGACTCTTAATCTCAGGGTCGTGGGTTCGAGCCCCACGTTGGGCGAATTTTTTTTTTCGTTCAATGCTATCAATTAAGCAAAATTATTAATTCGGTTTATTTTAAATGGTATCTTAAGCCTTTTGTGGTCTGATGATGCCATGGTATTTTTTTTAAAGACATTTTTCTCATGGAGGGGGGTCAACATTTTCCGGAAGCAGGGTAGCGGATAGTGCTGCGATTTAAAATAGATTGACCAAGTGGTGTTTATTTAAAATTCTAATTATTTAGTTGTATGGTTAGTGGAATAGTGGTGCAGGCAGAAACCGCATTCGGACTGTAGCCATATTATTTCCTAAAATTCAGTTCGGTAGGCTATATACCAGTGTTTCTTCCAGACAGTGGCGTAGGCAAGGGGGAGGGGGGGTGTTATGGGGGGGGGGGGGTCATAACCCCCACCATAGACCCCTCGGTATATATATATAAAGTATGAGGGGGGGGGTGCAAATCGAAAGTTTGTCCCGGGTAAAAATTTGACTCCCACCCCATGAGACGATCCTGGCTACGCTACTGCTTCCAGACTTTTTTCTCCCGGGGGGGGGGGCACTTGAAATTTTCGGGGGGGGGGGGGGGAAATCGGACACTGTATATATATTTTCTATATAAATTCCATTTCGTTCGGGGGGGGGGGAGCGCCCTCCCACGAACGAAATGGAATTTTAATAATGTCAACCACACATTTTTGCGCCCCCTTTGGGAGCGCCCTAGGTGCAGTGTTTCTTCCAGACTTTTTTCTCCGGGGTGCACTTGATATTTTCGGGGTGGCGGACAACATTTTCGGGGGGGGGGGGGGGCGGACACTGGTAAAAGTATATATTATTTATATAAATTCCATTTCTTTCGGGGGTGTGGGGGGGGGGGGGGTGGTAGCGGCGGCAGAGAGCTCCCTCCCCCCCCCCCCCCCGGCCGAAGAGATGCCTGGGTGACCGCCTAGTTTGCCTTGTTTGTACCGCCGACACTACTCCTCCCTATAACGAAGGCTCTCAAATTACAGCTATTAGAAATAGTACGCCCGTGTGGCTTGGTGTCCACTACTTCTAAATTATGAATGCCATTACCACTGAAATTTATGCTCTTAAAGTATCTAAAACCTTGGAGTTTTTTTTTTTTAATTCACTAATTCTGTTTGGTGTCATTACTTAATATAAGCGGGCTGTGTCTGTCCTTCCTTCCTTCCTTCCTTCCGTCCGTCCGTCATCGCTATAGATTTTGGGACTATAAAAGTAAACTACGCACCATGCTGTGCTTTTCAGTGCACCGCAGTGTCTTATTATAAGTATTAGAGTAGGGTTTGTTTATATAGCGGCATAGAGATATTTTATAATTTCCACTGTTTGTACAATTTTGCATAACGTAAAGAGAATATTAAATACACGCACATTGCTAAAACATATTAAAAGGATCAATGTCAAATATAGTTTTCTTTAATATTCCTAGAAAAAGTGGATACATTTTAATAACATAATAACTGTAGGTTAGAAAAATCTAATTAAACTGTTTAGTAATTTTGCCAAGGGAGGTATTTTACAAATAAATTGAACTCACGCTAAAAATGTGAATGCAGAATCTGCAAGAAGGAATAATTGTTGGAATAATATAATTAGCAAAATGTGAATGCAAATTATGCAGACGTGTAAGAGTACATTATTGTTGGAATATTATAATTAGCATTGATTGATAAAAGGCTATTTTTTATTTATTTTATTCACTGAATGTAATGTTTACTACTTATAATTTTTAATCAACTATTAAGCACTATTATAGACGCGTCATCACGTTCATTTGGTGCGAAATGGTTTTAGTTATGAAACTCTATTGTAAATTTTTAAAATTTAAAGTACTGGGAAAAAAATGCGTGAATTGATAAAGTGATATAATATGGTAGGTAAAACACGGATATTTTAAATACTGCTGGGGGTTTTATAGGAGAGGCGTAGAGAGGGGGGGAACATATGTCCCCGGTTGCCGACCTAAGGGGGCGCCAAAGTGGGTTTAAAAAAATGTGCGGGGGGGGGGGTGGAAATCGGAAGTTTGAGGGCGGTGGGAGGGTGCAAATCGTAAGTTTGAGGGGGGGGGGGGTCAAATTGAAAGTTTTTCCCCGGGCGCCGGAAAGGGTCGCTACGCCTCTGTTTTATAGTCATTCACTGTGTCAGACGCGTCCGGCGGCGCTCGGGAAGGGCGCGATTTGGCGCTACGGGCTAGACTGTGAACAATATGCCTTTATGATTGAATTTAAATTGTGTTTATGTTATGAGTGTTGTGTTTGTTTTTTCTTTTGTGTTTTTTTTTTCGTTCGTTTGTGTTGTGTTTAGTTTTGTTCTGTTCCCCAGTTGGTACATTTAAAAAAGATTTACCGTGGCGGAGCACGGGATGCAGCTAGTTACTTAATATAAATGTGATATTACAAACATCAAAACTTTACACTTGGTGTTTGTTAATCTTGAGCAAGTTGCACTAGAAAGCATTTTTAACACCATAAAGAATAGTGCGTTTGCTTACAAACACGTCACTACTTTTCATCATGGCGTCGCACACACGATCAAGGATTTGATACCATTTTTGATTCGATTTATTAATGAAATCGTGTAAGATTCTATTTATCAAAATAATATAAAATGCTTTCATCCAGAAGACTTTATCGTAAATGTAGGCATATCGCATTTAACGCAAAAGAAACAATAATAAAAGCTGTAATAACTAAACTAGATCTAGATTATAGATCTTTTAAAATAGCCCCCCCCCCCCCCCCCATTTAATGTCAGTGTCTCCTAAACATAAGTAATCAGTGATCTAAAAGGAAACAAAATAAACAAACAAGTTAATAAAAAGTCTAGTGACAATTTAAGCGCAATTTCCTTAATTAATTTTTTGTGACCGAACGAAAGGATATTTTTGAAAACTTTCTTCGGCAATATTGTTCTAAATTATGGCAGGAATCGATTGGTAAATGTTTCAAGTCGCTAAGTGGTCTGGTTGCCGAGATATGGGCCAAAAACTGCATTTTTTTTAGGTTTTTTAGCTTTTCCGGGAAATCCAGGAAGGAATTCCGGGAATTTTTTTGGCCACAATCATACTCGGAACTTGCTTAACATATTTGCTTTTGGAACTAGTCCTCGATATTGCTTCGTTGAGGAGGGGATACGACTTAAAGCTGCGAACACACATCGGACACACATCCAT